AGCTCCTTGCGGGACCATTTCGAAAGACGCGTTCCCGTAAATCTACCCGCGCACAGCAGTCGCCGGACGCCGACTATATAGTATTCTTATTTCGAAAGCGCATAATTCTCTATTCGATAACATGATATTTTGCTACAGTAAACCGTCAATTTTGTTCCAAGACCATGCGGAAATATTAATCATTTTCTCCCGTTTAGTGAGTCTCATCTTTATGCGTGATTTTCTTGTCTAAGCTCAGGATAATCATTTTGCAAAAACGCACACACACACACACATGTCTTCGAAATTTGAGCTCCGGCCACTTAATTATAAGTGCTCTATAGCGCTAATAACCCTCATTTTGATCTCCTTATATACTAGGCTGAATAATGCGTTTTTTTTAAATGAATAATACTTTAAATTTGGGCTCAATTTTGGGATTATTTCGTTGGGATTAACCAATTTCGAAAATGTATTTTCATTACGCACATGTTGTATGCAGTTTTGATGTCTTCAAAGTTTTTATTTTCGCCTCAATATCTACATACACATGGATCTGTTTTCCAGAAACATCTACAGGGTGTCATTTAAGTTCCCGCACAACTTTGAAGACGTATATTTCTGAGACTAAAAGTCCAAATCAAACGAGACTTGAAATATTTTTTATCTATAGTATAACAAATAATTTTATATTAACTCTTTTCGATTCGGCCTTCTTTCGGAGCTATGACTTCACAGAGACGCTTCGGGTAGGATGCGACTGTGGTACGCAGGTATTCGATGGAAAGATTGTGCCATGCCGCCAGTAATGTCTTTTTCAGAGCCTCTACACTTTAGTGGGGTTTTGCGTTGACCTTCTCCTGCAAGACCCCATCACGGAAAAGTCAAGCTGATTCAGGTCTGGGGAGCAATCAGTCCATTCGGATGACTTGATAAAGTCGGGAAAATGGGTCTGGCACCACTCCTGAGTAGTTTTGGCATTGTGGGCGGGTGCTCTGTCCTGTTGAATGACCCATTTCTGCCCACCGAAATGCGTTTGAGTCCAGGGCATCACATGCTTCTTTAAAATGTCCCAAACGTAGACTTCTTTGTTCATTTTCACCCCCTGATCCACGAAATCCAGGGGGCACCTCCCGGTTGAGCAGATGGCACCGAAAACCATCACACTGGCAGGATGTGAGGCTCGATTAATTGTTCTTCCTTTCTCAGAAGCTTGCTGGGATGTCTGGGCAAGTACTCAATGGTTTTGTGAGTAGAATGCCGTCTCCATAGTGAATAGCTTCTCGTCGGAGAAGACAGTGACGAGGTGTTCTCCAGACCGCGTGCGCGCAAGAAGTCGTTTTGCTTTTTCGACGCGTCTCTGCTTGTTGACGGACGATAGAATTGCCGCTTTTTGGACACGATATGGGGTCAGTACAAGCTTCGCTTTGACGATTTGTTCCAAAGCGAAGATGCTCATTCCCACGTCTGACGCCATCTTTCTCATGCTCCTGTAGGGGTTTCGCCTGATCCTCGATTTGACGGCGTTGATCTTCTGAGGAGTGGTTACCGAGACGGGTCTTCCTTGTCTGAGACGGTCACTGGTCGTATTTAGCTCCTTGAAACGTTTGAAGGTGTCGTAAAGCGTTCTACGAGGCACACCGAGGCGTTGAATGATGGCTCTCGGGCTCACATTTTGCTTATGAAGTTCGATAATGGAAGCGCGATGGATGTTAGCCTTCGCCATTTCTCGGAAACACATCCGAATGAAGTGAAACTTGGAAAATAAGTAAAATATACCTTATTTAACAAAAATAAATTGTATTGTTTCACGAAAAGTGCGACAGCCAAGCTCTTCATGACGTCAAACTTTTGTGCGGGAACTTAAATGACACCCTGTAGTCATGCTGAATAATCAAATCTCAAGATTTACGTAGTTGCCATATTTGATCGTGCGTTTAAAAAAAGCAAGAAATTTTCCAATAAACTTCTCCCCAATTTCTAGCTTTTAAAAATTGTTCACCTCATCAATTTCTTAAGAAAAATAGTCGTTTAATTAGTCGGACATTTGAGATTCAAAAATCAAAACACATATCGAATTTCTGCTGGATATTCGTCAGCACATTTTTTCGTCGGGGGTGGGGGGAGTATATCTCGAGTTCGTTGCGGGACCATTCAGGTGCCACACGGAATTCCGTCTCCCATCAATTTTGACTGTTCGCCCTTCAGTTTTCCGGTTTTCCGTTTACATCATCTCGCGCATTAATCCAGGCTCTCGAAATTAGATTTAAAAATAGTTCAAATCTACTTTTTCGTGTCCCCCTTTAAATTGGGCCCAGAATAAAAACAAATTAGTTTCCTGTTCCAAACTTAAAGATGTCATGAATTCCCTCGACAACAATAAAAAAAAATTGAATATAACATTTTTATCGGCTAAATTTTTAAATTGAATCCTGGAAACCGCATGATTCATCGAGTACTGTAGCAATAGTTCAAATGTGTTACATTCCAAAAATTTCATTTTTTTTTGTCTCTAACGCGAATAAAATTAAATCTGTTTTATTAAATATGAGTAATTGAGATTTCAAAAAAAAAATTGTTGCAATTGCCTTCTATGATGAATCGCTTCGTATTTCATTCATCTTGCTTCTTCTTCTTCTTCTTCTTCGTCGCCTTTTTTTGAAGGACAACATCAGATTAAAGCAAGCCTGCAAATAAAGGCGAAACAACACAAAAATAGGGAGGACGAAATGAAAAAAAAAAGCAACAACCGAAAAAAAAGGCGGAAAAAGATTGTGTGAATATGAGAACGAACTCAATTAACCAAACAACTTTTCATCCTCTTTTTTTCCTTTTTTTTTCCTGCTCCGCCGTTTTGTTGCTCATTTGTCTTATGGTGCTTACACCCAATTTTTCGATTTTTTATTTATGTTCTTCCTTTTTTTTTTGAAAAATTCAAGATCTTCGCTTTTTTTGTTGGAGCCAAACGGGGACCTTCTTATTACAGTAAGAGCATTACGGTAGAAATTGTGTAATAGGAGGCGGTACTTTTTCAGATGTGGGGCATATTTACGACGAGACAAAATTGAAAAGCTCATAGATGAACATAATCCAAATTGGTTTTCGAAAAAAAAAATAGAATTTCGTGTCGAGACCAAACTTCAGACTCATTATTTGAAAGACGAATATTTGGGTTGTGAGCCATGCTCCTTTAAACTCAAACATCCTGGAGAATGCTCTTCAATTATGAATCTTTCCGAATGAAGTCTCGACCCGAAATTGATGAATAAATGATGAGCGTGTTATTGTTATTTTTATTAGTTGTTATGTGTCCCGTCTGCCGCTCAATTTCCGATTCCCCCCGCTGCTTCGCCTCGAGACCCAAAAAAAAGAAAACAAAGACGAATGCCCAAAATCAAATTTTAAGACTTTTGTCAATCAAAAAAAATGATGGGGAGTAGTAGAAATTTGGAAACGGACGTTTCGGTTAGATTAACGGGATTAACTTGGCAATAAAACATTGTGGTTTCGGAGCGAATGAGGAAGAAGGCGAAGAACTCAAAAAAAAAAAACGAATTTTGGGTTGCTTTATTTATTTATTATTTTGATTTTTAATGGGAAAAATCATTTTGTTTCTGAGATTCTTCGAATTACAGTTCAATCGTCCTAAATGGAATAAAATTAGGAGGGCGAAAATAGTGTGTGAGTTTGAGAGGGTGCAGGGAGAGTGAGATAAAAGCATCTATTCGTACGCGTGATAATAACGGTTTATTATCACACGTTTTCCAAATATAGAATGGTCGGCTTTTTTTTTTCAAATTTCGCGGGTGGTGTCTTGAAGTGGAGAATCTACAGTGTCCACTTCTAATCTGGCATGTAAACCGATTACAATACTTGATTTTTTTCTTCAAATTTAAAAATTAATTTTCATTTCTTTTCCTGATTTGAAATCTACATAGTTGGATGTCCAAGCATGCGCCTTTAAAGATAGTTTCGATATGGTAATTTATTGGCTGATAAATTTCAAAAGCAATTTTACTTTAAAAAGAAAAACTGAATGGTTCTGAAACCACTTTTAAAGGCGCATGGTCGTAAATCTACCCATCTACAACACATTCATATCTCAAAAAAAGAATTCAATGGGAACCCACAAAAAAATGATTAATAGCGGTCCCATTTCCTTCGAAATAAATGAGACACAGTTGAATTGGAGTTACAGTACCCTTCCATTTTTTTATTTTGAAAACAATCATTATTCATGGGATCAATAAAATATTCCATGAGCCAAAACGATTCACACGCTCGATAATAATCATAATAATAATAATAAAATTTAGAAACGCACGTCAAAAAGGAAGAAAAAAGTGTGCGGTGTGAATTTTCTATTTATTTATGTTGGCCTTCCAATGCACTTCTTTTGTTCTTCTCGCCTCCATTATTCGTCAAGAACACTCAGGTTTACATTAATAATAATATTCATTTGACTCGTTCAACCCCCTCCCCCCCCCATCCTCCTTCGAACACTTTGAAAACATTTTGAAAATTTTCTAGATAATTTTAGACCATAAAATGCCAATTGACCGGTTTTGGAGCGCGCATTTCTTTTTGCTATAAATAAATCGATGATCATCGAAAATCAATTAATGGCGACTTAATTGGGCATCTAAGTGTTCTGGAGAAAATTTTCAATTTCACATTGAATCCACTTCATCTAAGGGTTTCTCTAAGTCAATTCTAGATTATGAGCAGAGCACGAATTTTTAATATGAAACCTAGCAAAACGAATTTTAATCGGTGACTTTTTTGTAAAACAGTCTAGCCAATTTATGGAAAACAGCTTTCAAAATATTCAAAAATTCGAATAGAAAACAAAACACAAAATGTTGTGTATTTTCGCGATAATTGTTTCTTTTCTTCTTGTCGGCCGCAACGTCCAAATCTTAAAATTGTCGTGCATTCATTTCGTTTTTCACCCGATTTCTTTTCACATCGATCGAATCGCCATTCTTTAGTTGATTTTTTTCCCCAATTTATAGAGTTTGATGGATCGGACCTATCAGTCGCTGATCAGGCCGAATCATCACTCATTGTTCGGGAACCACGCGAGACATGCATCAAGAAGGCAGAGGAGCAAATCAGCGCTTCGCGAGACATTTGGGTACGGCGTGCTCGGCAATTTTTGAGCATTCATATATCATTTTTGTACCAATCATTGTTTTTCCATAGGAATTCGCATTTTGCAGGAGTCAAGTCCTTCGCGAGCTCACTAACAATTCCAAAGAAGGAATATCACTAAGCGAAATATTCTCATTTTATCGATTGCCTTGGACGAAAGTGCGAAGCAAAAATGACATCAGGAAGCAACGCCGCTCAACACTTTATTCATTTTATTTCGAGCAAGTCAATAAGGGTCGAATACAGGTGAATGTTTTGCGAAATGGGCGCGTTTGAAAGTCATAAAAACCCAAATCAAAAATATGTCATCGTGTTTGCGGTTTCAATTTTTTCCCACAAATGTTTGAAATTCGTCATACAAAATTATTCATTTTCCTTTTATGAACGTCAACAAAACAATGTGTACAACACATTTTCACACACCTAATATAGCAATTGAAAATATGGAAAAAAAAACTAGATTTGAATAAAACTGATCGAAAATTTGAAAAAAAAATTCTTTATGAGTTTCTTTTACAGGGGTCTTCCAAAATTTTTCGTCTTTCCCACCAAAATTTCACAAATTTATCGATTTTGAACGAAGACGTCTCAAATTGCTGAATTTATTTCCTTCTTGCACAATTTGAAAAAAAAATGCACTTTTAAACGAAAAAGACACAATGTGTGCAATTTCGCGTGCGCGTGTATGACACTATTATGGCCGGGACGCGAACCGCGCATTCTTGAAAATATGAAGTCGTGACATCTAGAACTTCCCTTTAAGGCCATTTTCTCAAAGCTTCAATATAAGCAATTGATAATTGAATTGATTTTTGTTTCATTTAAAATATTCATTTTTGAAATAAAATATCTGAAGTTGAAAGACATTGAACTTTCAGTTCTCAGTCATCCTATTGTTTCTCATCTGTGCCACAGAAGCGGTTTTCGCGTTTGTCGAACATCTCTGGATCAAACTTGCAGTTTTAATAGCAATCAATGTAAGTTGGGATCCTCGAAAACCCAACGTTTTGATTCATTCGGAATTTTCCAGATAACACTTTCAACTTTAGCAATTTTATATACAAAGAGAACCCAAATTTTATGTATATTTACTGTAATTGCGTGTGTGGTAATTTGATGTAGATCAAAATGCGAATCGGATCAATGTGGATTTTCAGATAATCACAGCATGCTCCACAATGAGATCCCCAGTATCATATTTATTAGTTTTCACCACTTATACATTATTACCAATGTCTTTCATATCTATGGTACGTTTTTCGATATTATGTGTGTTTTTTTTAATTCACAAATTTCAGCTCATTTCCACATTTTTTCTCACATTTTTTCTCTCATTTATCGAGTTTACAACACATGAAAATTTGTCGAATTATATGGTAGAATTCAATGAATCGTCTAAAAAAAAATTAATTGGAAAATTTAGAAAATGATGCGAATATTGATGCTCATAATAGTCAATGTCATCGGGTGTTTGGTGTATTATCCAACGGAATTTGTACAAAGAAAAACGTTTCACGAAACCAGGTAGTTGTAATCGAAAGAAAAGTCTAGTGTGAGGACATCCTGTTATTTCTGTTTCTTTTTTTTTTCAGAAAATGTGTACAATCGCGGATGTTATTGGATAGGGAAATGCATCGACAGGAAAAAATATTGTTGTCGGTTCTGCCAAAACATATTGCATTCGAGGTAAATTATTAAATATTCTTGAAAAATTAACAATAATCAAGTGATTTTTGAAAAAGGCGTTTCATTGAAAACAATTGAAATTTTGAGGTCAAAAAAGACATGCAAGAACGGGAAGAAGAGGAGCGCTTATTTCATAAGATCTACATCAAAAAATACGAGGATATCAGCATTTTGTTCGCCGATATTTGCGGTTTCACCAATTTGGCATCCGAATATACCGCAGAGGATCTTGTGCTTATGCTGAATGAGTTGTTCGCGAGATTCGATAAGCTCGCTTCAATCCATCAGTGTATGCGTATCAAGATTCTAGGCGATTGTTATTATTGTGTGTGCGGTGTGCCCGATTATCAGCCGAATCACGCGGCCAATACCGTTGAAATGGGTCTAGACATGATTGAGGCAATCAAGTGGGTTCTATCATCAATAAAAGAGAATCATAATTTGAATTGGGGGTTTCAGATTGGTGCGGGAAATGACACGTGTCAATGTGAATATGCGGGTTGGAATTCATACCGGAAAAGCGCATTGCGGGGTGTTGGGCTTGAAAAAGTGGCAATTTGATGTTTGGAGCGACGATGTCACGTTGGCAAATCATATGGAGAGCGGTGGACTGCCCGGGTAGAAATTGCGGCATCATCGCCGCTGAAATCGATCATTTCAGACGAATTCACATCACCGAGGCGACGAAGAAATGCTTGAACGACGCTTACATTCTCGAGCCGGGCAACGGCGAAACTCGCTCGAAGTACCTCAAAGGCGTCACAACGTATCTTGTCGTTGATAAAAATGATGAGAGAGCGAAAGACGTCGACAAAACGAATTTGGCGCCGAGAGCGAAGGTCTCGAAGGGAATCAGCAAACAGGAGAGACTCACGGGAATATCGACGAGGCATCGTGGAACAAGTTTGAGGTTTTTTTTTTGTTTTGAGATTTTTTTTGCAAATTTCCATCGAGACAATGCTTTAGGTACGGGCTGTCCGAAGAGCAGACGATTGTCGATAATGTGGATTCCCATTTGCGGCAGGGGATTCAAGCAATTCATCAAGAGAATTGGAAACGCCTTTTTTGCAAACAATGGTCTTTGAAGTATAAGCAAGTTAAAGTCGAAAATAAGGTAGATTTTTTTTTAATAGATATTTTGTTAATGGTAAAAATACTAAGCAGATTTCGAGGAAAAAATCCAGAGAAAACCATTTTTTGAGAGTTTTTTCCCATAATCTACATAATACTTTAGAAATAGGGAATGTTGAAAACAATATCAAAACTATAATTGTTTCAGTATGTCAAGATGAAGTACAAACACGTTCCGACGCAAATTGTCACATTTCTCATCGTAATATGCATGGCTCTTGCGAATTATCAAGGCATTGATGTTCTATGGTCGTTCGATTTGATCCCACAAGGGCTGATTCTAATCATCGGCATTTCAATTATTCTCATCTCAAAGGTTTTTCGAAACATTTGAAATACTAGAAATGGCGATTTATTTTTCAGTATCTTCGGCGTCATTCTCGGCTCTTAAATTCCATAATTGGCACATTATTGTTTCTCCAAACATGCATAATAGTAGCACTTTTGGTAGGTCTATTAGAAAAATTTGGTGCAATTTTCTCGAGATTTCGCTTCAGACGCTTTGCCAGAACACGCACAAATGCGATTCATCGATTTGCTTTAAAAACAGCTCGCAAGATTTGATTGAAATTGTGATCACTTTAACATTGGCCTGCGACACAATACTATCCGCCGATTTTCTCACCAAATTCATCATGTCGATTACACTTTGTGGTTCATATTTGGTGATGATTACCTACAATTTCTGGTCCCTACCTGATTATCATACGTATGGCATTTTATCGGGTTCAACCAATGGAAAACAATTGATGATAATTACAGGTGTATTCATACATTTTCCCACCTTTGTATTCTTTCGATTTTGACGCTCATGCTGTCGGCGTTTAGCTCAAGAAGAACCGAACTCATTGCTAGATACGACTTCATTTGGAAGTTGCAGGTAACGAAATGGCGGGAGATCGAAAAACCAGAGCATATTTGTAGGCTTTTGACGAACAATTACAAATGAAGAGCAAACATGAGCAGAATCGGAATGTGCTCGAGAACATTCTTCCGTCTCATGTTGCCAAGCACTTTGTCGAAGACTCAACGAGCTTCACCCAACTGTACCATGAAGCTCGTGACAACGCGTGCATCATGTTCGCCACATTAATGGAATTTGATAAATTCTATATTGAATGCGATGGGAATAACGAAGGTGTCGAATGTCTGCGCCTTCTGAATGAAATCATCTCGGATTTCGATGAATTATTGGATCGTGAGGAATTCAAATCGATTGAGAAGATCAAGACAATCTCGACGACGTATATGGTGGCGAGCGGATTGGCGGGAGAAGTCAATAATAATGATTCGCATGTGGAGACGATTGCCAAATTTGCGAGAGAGCTTCTAGCAAAGATTACGGTCATCAATGAGCATAGCTTTAATAATTTCAATCTTCGAATTGGTAAATTGAACCGAAAATGTTCGAAAGCGAATCCGATTGTAGGCATCAATGTTGGGCCAGTGGTTGCTGGTGTGATTGGAATCGACAAACCCCACTACGACATATGGGGCAATAGTGTGAATGTAGCGAGTCGAATGGATAGCTCAGGAGTTGCTGGACGAATCCAGGTGATCATATCGGATTGCCAATGAAAATCATTCGCGTTGTGTAGGTAACCGAAGAAGTGAAGAATGTGCTGGAACCTCTTGGATATAAATTCGAGTGTCGCGGACAGATCAATGTGAAAGGCAAAGGCTTGATGACCACATATTTCCTGCTTGATGATTGATTTTGTTTTTAGAATTTCTTGTTCGTTTAGGTTTTTATTTTGTTGATGACGAGTATAATGAAAGAAACAAGGTTCACAGGTTTACATGTATGTACATAGATGCAATAATAAAGCTTTAAGATTTGTGGTTTTGGAAATTGAGAAAAAAAAACCAATAAGGAAAGTGTAATTTTCAGTGAATTGTCATATCAAAATGAGTGTTTTATTAGGGAATAATTGGTTATCATCGAACGTGATCACAGAATCGTCATCAAATTCCTCAAGGAATTCATACCTAATCTAACTACTAATAACAACTAGACCATCTAACCAAACTCGAGTAAGTTATTTTAAATTGTCGATTTTGGGAAGAGCGAAATGATGAACAGAAATGGGAAATCGAATGACACAGCCGACGCATAAACGCGAGAAGCCGACGCATGCGACGATGAAGGTTTCGATGAAGCGAATTAACAAAACTCTTGAGAACGCCAACAAGCTTCCGACAGGTTTCTAAGGGGGAAAATTCTTTCAAAATGAGCGACTCTTGAATTCAGTGGCTCCTCGACGTCAATGTCTTGTGAGATTGCTGAAAATGAACCGCATACACGACTATTTGCAGTTGGAGGTTGAATGCTTTCAAAAATGTTCTTATGAGAGTGTTTAGAAGGAATTCATTAATCGACAGAACACACTTCGACCAATCGCTGTTCAGAAGAGGAATGAGCAGAAGATTGTGCAGCAATTGAGAGGAAGTCCGGTGTCACTCGCCAGAATTCACGAGTTGTTCGAGGATGAAAAGGTACACCTCTTTATTTTAAATATTGTCTACTCTTTAATTTCAGCACGCTGTTGTCGTTGTCGAAGGATCGAAAAGAGAATGGTACGTTCCGATTCTCTCGATTGTCGACAAGGATCTGCTTCGCCTCAACGCTCTCGTCATGGTGAAAGCCGGAGGAATGTTCAAGACAGTTCCGACGGCGGTCGTCGGTGTTCTCGACGACAAAGTCGACAGCAATGCGATGGGACATAAGGTGGAAAAGGCGCCGAAGGAGACGTTCGACGACATCGGAGGATGCGAATCGCAAATTCAGGAAATCAAAGAATCTGTTGAATTGCCGCTGATCCATCCCGAATACTATGAGGAAATGGGAATTACTGCGCCGAAGGGTGTCATTTTGTATGGCGAACCGGGAACCGGCAAAACGCTGCTCGCCAAGGCGGTGGCGAACTCGACGAGCGCCACTTTTATCCGTGCGACCGGCTCGGATTTGGTGCAGAAAAATAGTGGCGATGGCGCCAAATTGGTGCGACAATTGTTCCAGATGGCCAAAGAATGCGCACCGTCGATTGTATTCCTGGATGAGATCGATGCTGTCGGAACGAAGCGATTCGACACATCGTCGCGTGGAGAGCAAGAAGTTCAGCGAACACTTCTCGAGCTTCTCAATCAGCTGGACGGATTCGAAAGTCGCGGAGACGTGAAAGTGATTCTTGCAACTAACCGAATTGACTCGCTAGACCCCGCACTGATTCGGCCGGGACGAATTGATCGGAAAATCGAGTTTCCGAAACCGGACGAAAAGACGAGGTCTAAAATATTCCAGGTAGCTCAGATTGAATTGATTGAGTGGTTGGAATGCTGCGAATTCAGATTCATACAAGCGGCATGAATCTGGCGAAGAATGTGACGTATGAGTCGGTGCTCAGCAAGGAGAAGAGCATCAGTGGAGCCGAAATCAAGGCGGTTTGCACTGAGGCTGGAATGTTGGCCCTTCGCGGACAGCGCAAATGTGTAGCCCAAGATGATTTTGACAAGGCTATTAAAAATGTGCTTCTTTCGAAGAAGGCTGGAGCACCCGAAGAGTTTTACACTTAGGAATCAATAAAAATTTATATATTATATATATATATATACTATATTGAACATGTATTAGATGCTTTCCTCTTGGACGACCCTCTGAATTATTCAAATTGAAATATTAAACTTTCGGAATCGTTTACCGTTAGTAGCGGAATTTTCTGCTTGTATACAGTCAGATCGGAATCAAAGGATGTTCGAGGATCCTGAAAATGTTGAGATTGATATTTGAAGCGGTTTGATTATTCCCGCCTTATCGGATTGTTTTGCTTCTTTTAACAGAATTATGAGCTTGTCGGGTCGCGCCGGACCCTCCTTTCGCAGAATTTGAAGTTCCGTCGAAGCGCCGGGATCGAGAAATGCGTAGACTGGCGACACCTTGAACACGACGTTATTGCTGCATTTGACTTTGAACACGATTCGCGATGATCCATCGTTGGTGATTGTGTGACGAGAAGCGCCACCGAACTCGATGAACTCGGCGAACGGGGGATAGATTTTGAGGGAAACACAAGGACGAGGCGGCGGTTGACCGATTTGTGGATCCCTGGAAATATTGCGAGTTCAGCTGCTCTATAGTTGAACAGATTCTGCTCGAGACCACTTCTAATATTGGTTATTTTATTTAATAAAATATTAATCAGCAAAATGCTGATTATCAAATTAGCAGGGTGTTCAAATTAATTTTGGAATTTTGAAATTCCCATTTGGAGCAAACCTTCTTTAAGAGTTTCTGGATTACGGTAGCCTTCACTAGCCTCGAATGAATGAACTTCTTACCTCCTCATCAATCCAGACAAAAATCCGAAATTGCTCCAACGAAAATTTCGTTGCTCTTATTCGTGTTCGAAGTATTTCCTATAAATAGAATCGAGAGATTTTTTTTTTCGGGGAAGACAAAAACGTTCGAAACAACGAATAAATGGCTAATAGTGTGCACGAATAGAAGAGCTTAGAAATGGAGTTTCGGGATGGGCGCATGTATAAAAAGACCGGCGGCAGTATGTCATTTATTGAAGAGACGTTGGTCGTCTTCTTGACGCCAATTCCTTTGCATATTAAACACGCGCTGCTGCGGACACGTTTGCAGGCTGCTACGCTCATCGACTCTCCGATTACCTTTTGAGCACGTCAGTCGGGTAGACAGGCATATTTGTTCGGGGGGAAAAAACATGAGAAAAAGTGATTCCCCTTGGGTATTTAGGCGGCACCGATTTGACTTGTGACGTGTACACTTGGATGCCCGAAAATGGGCCCCGACACCGACGGAGCAAAAAAAAACGTGCAAATGATGAGCGAGAAGAAGAAGAAGAAGAAGAAAAAACATAAGAGAAGACGGATTGACGTCAACTTACACCTTTTCCTGGACGAGAATTTTCCATGCAAAATTTTTGCTGGGAAAAGACAAAAAAAATATATTGAGGTTTGATACCTGACTGACGTCGATTCGCGTATTTAGTTTTAGGTAGGCTTACACAACTGCTGGTACGGAAATAATTAGTGGCGACGGCAAAAAAAACAAGACAATTAAAATTGATCGCCTACAAGGATTCAATTATCAACAAGGGTGCTCAATTTTCGAAATAGAAATGCTCGAATAGACATATAGGGGAGCTCAAAGACACTTTGACACAGAAAATATCCATATATTAGGTTTGTGCAAAAGAATTGCATTATTTTAACCCCCAACTTTAAACGAGCATAACTCTGCTCGGAATTTTCTTCACTTGTCGAATTGAAGGCTAACATGCAGATAAATAAAACACCCAAAAAAATTGCATTTATGATCCGCACATAGTGCACCGCGGTCAAAATAGATGTAAATCGCGTTTTGTGCAATTTGGCGTCATCATGTTGACACACAATATGCCACGCGCCTAATCATTTCTATTCAATTCATTTTCGTTGGGTATATTCGCGATATTCGCGGCCGTAGTGAAGTTAAAGCCCCCCCCCTCCAGTAAAGAAGAGGTCCACATTTTCAGTGGAAGTGAGGACCTTCGCTGCAAATGTGGAGACATTTTCCCCGCTGTGGGGACCTATATTGGTGTGGGGACCTCAACTGCATAATCGCCTCGAATTAACTTTATTTATCGAAAAAAAAAATGATAAAAATCGATTCATTTTTATATAGTTTATTTGTTTGGCTTGAATAAAATCCCGGAATAAGATAAAAATAAAACAAGTACCAATAATTGTGTGGCATTTCAACATGGTAACAGATATACACTCTATATACATATGTATATACATATACATATACAGTACCGTGCAGTAAGATATACAATTTCACTTTTTTTATCATAACTTTCTGAAAAGTTGACCAATCGATCTGAAATTTTTTGACAACTTTAAGCATCGATAGAGTGATTATGTAACAAAATTAGAAGGTGTAAAACACATTAGGAAAAATTTTATTGGCAAAAAATCAGAAAATCCATAATAGCGAAAAACCGACTTTAATAATTTTGATATCGGTACGACTTGAAATAAAATGGAAAACCACAATTATCTCTCAGGATGCTTAAAACAACTCAATATCTTGTTGACATGTCATTTGCATCGATCACAGTTTGATATCGGAGACCCATGGCCTCGTCAACTTCGGGAGGGTTGAAATTGGAATATCCATACATGATCTCCTCAGCTGCTCGATCATTTCGACACATTTTGTACAGTTTAACCACCAAGACGTCTACCAAGATCATCCTGCAAATGTTCAATGGGGTTCAAGACAGGTGAGTGGCTTGGTCAGTCCCTGACGGCCACCCTACGCTGCTAGACCCACTCTTTGATGTAGCGAGAGAAAAGTTTAGGATCATTATTCTGCTGAAATAAGTATCCACACCGAGCAAAAACTTTGTAAACGGAAGCATATGGTTCTCGAGAATGTCTTTATACGCAAATCGATCCATATTTCTTTCGACTCGACGAAGTGGGCCAGCTCCAGAAGCAGTAAAACATCCCCAAACTATCACACTTCCTCTTCCATGTTTCACTGTTGGTAATTGATGCTTTTGATCGAATCTTTTGCGGTCCGAACGCCTCAAAAAGGTAATACCATCAGTTCCGAGCAAGATATACTTCGATTCATCACTCCATACAACCTTTGACCATTGTTGAAAAGTCCAATTCAAAAGCTCCTTATCCCACTTCAAACGGGCGCGGCGTTTCTTCTCCGAAAGGAGAGATTTTTTGACAGACCGACGTCTAAATAATCCAGAACCACGTAGACGACGCTTTACAGTATTAACAATGATCTGTATGTGACTTTTGGTGAAAAAATGTCTACGTTGACATCATAGAACTGACTCAGTTGCCGATTAATCTCGGAAGCGGATAGACGCGGGTTGCTTTTGCTGTTTCTTACAATTGTTCGATTGCTTGCCAGGGATGTTTTGAAAGGATTTCCAAGTGGTTTGGAATCCGATCGAGATTTCAAACATCCACAAATGGTCCAAGTCGATGAGTTCAACTGGTGTGATAGACATTGGATGAAAAGACCTAGTGCTCGGTCATTCTTGATTGCTTTAAAACGTCTGATAGAATGTTTTTTGATCATTTTAATCGTCTCCTGCTAAAACAAATAAAAAAACTGATGTTAACATTGAAAATCTAAAATAAATCGAAAAAACATAAAAATAAAAAAAAATCGCATTTTTGAAAATACGCAAAAAAAGGTCCAAAACACAAAAATTGCGTCTATAGAACCCCAAAATGAATAAATTATGTTTGGGAACACACTATCCGTTTTGTCCAAAAATTTCAGATCGATTGGTCAACTTTTCAGAGGGTTATGATTAAAAAAGTGAAATTGTATATCTTACTGCACGGTACTGTATATACTATATTCATAGGAATAATAATAAAATAAATAGCTAATTGAATGAAACTTTTTTGATTTAGATTAAGCATGAAAATAAAATATTTTTATGATGGAGAATTAGTAAAATTAAATGTATATACATAGTCCTACTGAAAAAAAAGTTTTTTCTGAATTTTGAACTCGGTTTGTAAATTGAATATACTTTTTCTGGTTATTTAAAGTACTGTTTTATAGATTTTATAGATTTTAAAAAACAATTTTAATATTATTTAATTAGCATAGGGTTGTTTTAAAAACAACACACCATTTTCTTTATGTCTGAAGATACCGTAATCAATAGAGAATCGCTCAAATATGCTCATCTGGCATAAATATCGGCTGGCAACGATGAATAAATATCACAAGAGAATAATAAAACTGAAAGTAAGAGAGAAAGTTTAAAGGCGCATAATTCCCATTCTTTAAAAAAACGAACGTAATTCGAGTGGTAACACTAATTGCGGCGGGAAATTCAAAATTTGTGGAGAAAAAACATCGACAACACCTGAAAAGTGCGAATTGCAAAATTCTCGAATGAAAATGTGGGTGGAAGTTGGCGAGATCGGCTCAATAAAAAATCGATTATTGCGGCTCGTGAAACACGAATTTATTTTAATGGATGTGCAACAGAGGTTGCGTTTGTTGACCGAGAAGAAGACGAATCACAATACCCGAGGGAGCGACGAAACGGCAAATGTGATGAAAACTTGGCCTTCGACATGTTGAAATATTCGTGTCAAGACGATTTTCTTGCAGAAAATATAAGAGCAAACATTTGAAACATGTTGGCTATCATGTAGATGTATGTAGGCTTGGTTTAAAAATATTGACAAAATGCCAAAAATGTATTATTATTCGATGTGCGCCTTTAAACTTTAAACTTTGTCCCGTCAAAGTCATTGTTTTTTGGAATTCAGCCAATGTTCCAAAGTCACGCGACGTTGTATTGTCGAAATTGGTAAAATGCCAGAAATGGTCTTGAGCAGACAGGACGCATGTTGTCTACTCCACATGGACGATGCACCACTTAACAACGTAGAGTAAAAATCCCCACCCTGATGTTGCGAGACCCAACTCTACAGTAGATCGCGCCAGCCGCAGTCGCACGACTTCAACGATATGTAGGTAGTATTGTTGGCGCCAAACGATCTATCGATGGCGGGAAATTCAAATTCAAAGTCAGTGTAGATCTACGAAAAATTTTTTTCGTACGCTAAAATGCAGAGTACACTTTCAACAGAACAATGCGGTCATTCATGTGTATGTAGTTGGTGTAATTTGGACTGGCTCCAGTCTCGTGGAAGTTCTCGACTGACCAGCATAAATATCGTCGGCGTTCGGCGACTGCTATACTCGGGTAGATTTACACGCATGCGCCTTGAAAAGGTCTCGATACGTGTGAATTCTTATTTTGCTGTTTTCACGTGAATTTCAACGAACCTGTCCACAAAATTTAAAAAAAACCGGTTAGTCCTTGCGAGACCATTTCGAAAGACGCATTCCCGTAAATCTACTCGAGTACAGCAATCGCCGGAAGCCGTCTATATAACACCAAAAATAAAAATCATAATTTTTAATTAAAGCTTTCAGATGAAATAGGGTTCATTGGCGAATTTCAAAAATCAAAATCAATCAAAATCGAGCAGGTGCTTTTTTATATGCTTAACTTTTACTGAAGTGCCCTTGAACTTATTTCCAACTTTTGCATCTCGTATATACATATATTGTATCCTGTTTTGAGTTTGTTATTTAATCAACCATTAACGCCACTTTGGAATATATAAAAATATAAATTGCGTTTCTCTTAATTATTCGAAAATCCAATGAAATTCTCAAGAGAATAACAAGTCCAATAACATATTTTGTTCGTTTTCAAAAAAAAAGCCTTGTAATTATTTCACACTTGGCAACGTATAATTTTGATTGTTTGGTGTTATCAAATCTTTTAAAATTTTTGAAGACAGAAGCAGGAAAAGAAAATGCTGGAGCCGACATCGGTGGTCGTTGAAAAAACAGTAATATTTGTCGCATTTCTTGTCACTATTGTCGTCAATTCCACTCTTATTTATTTTACAATATTCTTCAAAAAGCGATATTTCGGAAGATACAAACATCTTCTGATCATATTCGCAAGTTGCGGTATCATTTTTGCAACGCTTGATTTCCTATTTTTTCCGGTCAGTTCGAGCAGGTGAACGAGCCAAATCAGAAACGACATTTCAGAGTGTTTACACCTATCGAATCGGTTTTGTTTATTTTTCCCTATATTCATATATTTCGTTGCCTCTCGACATTATCGAAATGTTTCTCGGTAGAGATCACAACGAACCGATTGTATTCTCAACACTTCGAATATTTCAGCCGCTTATTCCGGCTGGTATACCGTCATTCTTTCATGGCTTTCCGTTCAATTCATTTATCGATATTGGGTCCTATTCAAGTAAGGAAACGTCTCTTTTTTTTCAATTTCCGGTATCCCTTATTACAGTAATCCATATCTACGATTTTATTTTGGCTACAAATTCGGTTTCTGGATAGCATATGTATTGATATTTGGAATGATTACTGGATTCTCAGTATACTTTTTTGGGCTGGTCGATGATTATACGTTGAAATATATGGAGTATGTCATGTTTTCCGACACTTGCCAGTATTACGTAGAAAAAAAAACCATTAGAAAATAGGAAAGTATATTTAAAAAAAGAAACACAAGACCATTTTTAACAGTTCATGTCTACTCAAGACCCATTTTTCATAGAAAACTTTTCTCCAAAAATAATGCAGAATTCAATAAAATTTTTAAAGTTCATTCGGAACTTTTTAAAATTTTTTTTGTATGTGAAAAAAATTATACTTAATCAATTCGAGAACTAAAAAAATATATTCTAAATTCCATCAAATTATCTGTTTTTTGTTTGTTAGAACTCTGTGATAATGATTTTAATCAAAATGATTCAGATTGCCCTATTTCGAACACTACGACGTCGATATTCATACGATTCCCCGATTAATCGCGGTGGTCTATGTATAAATTAAATTGAAAAACCATGTAATAATAAATGTCAATTTAAGGAGTATCCTGATGGTAAAACCGAGGTTATTCGATGGAGAAATCTCTTATTCATAATTGACGTATTAGGCGTTATAGTAAACCAAACTACATAATTATTCCCAGAAAATCGATTCTTCAAATGTTTCAGTGCTTCCAATACATCATTATAGTATATTGCGCCACGAAAATGAGCAGCAAAATGCAGGAAAAAGTTAAAATGTTTTCGAAAACTCTTCATAATCTCAATCATCAAATTTTCATTTTCAATGTGCTCATTTTACAGGTTAAAATCGAAAATGTTTTAGGAAACTCTTGAATTTTGCAGATATCCGGTCCAACAATTTTTCTATTTGTTCCATTATTCATCAATCTGTTAATTCCGATATTCGACACAGAAATCAATGCACCCACAGGCGCCCTGATCAGCTCATTCTCGATATTTCCCTGTTTCGATGGCCTAGTTGTCATGTGCATTATCACCGAATATCACAAGAATATTCGAAATTCGTTTAAGGCAATTCAACGACTTTTTCAAACAAATGTGGCGACATCAAAAGGAACGGAATCTAGATCATAGACTTGAACATTTTTTCGAATCACATAAAGATTTAAATAAATCATTAAAGTATCAGGAGCATGTCATCTGGAGTCTGAAGACGATACCTATCAAACTTTTCTAGCGCCTTCAATACAATGGTCGACATTTTCAGAAGCAAAAAGAAAGATGATGCTTCCTAATGTGAAATATCACCTACAAAATATAGCTATTGGCTGAAATTTATTCACATTACATTTCGAAGTCGTTGTCTCGAGGAATCTACGATGATTTCTCAAGAAATACTGTAAACACACCATGACGAAAATTTGCAGACGGCCCAAAAAAAATGACGAGATTTTCATTTTGTTTAATCACTTTTTCATATAATGTAAAACCGTGTCAATCATTCGAAAAACGAATCAGCTCGCACAACGAAAGGTAGTAGTGGTTCAATAACCAACTAACCTTTGTTTAAAAAAATGGTAATCTAGTGAAACGGAATTCGTTAAACAGTCTCGAGAGTTGACCGGTTTATCTGGTTAAACAGTTCGGTTCGTTGACTTTAACTTTTATCCAGCTTGTAGATTGTACGTCCAATTGTTAGGGGGGGGGGGTGGTAGGGTTTCGAAAATAATCAAATTTTAATATTGTCGTAGTCGTGACTACCAAAAATGGGCTAAATGAAAAAAAGCAATGACAGTGATCTCAGCAGAAAACTGAAAAAATATTATAATATTTTATTGAATTCTCGAAGCTCAAAAGGGAAGTCATTTTAACTAACGTCTTGGAATTTTTTGTAACTTTGTACACGTAAACTAGAAAGCCTTCTGAGTGTGTTCACAAAATTCCAGACTGGGGGGTTACAGACGAGTTATGGTCATCTGAAAATTCAATGTCCATTGTCAGCAACCATTTGGCCAAGAAGTTACACATACGCCTCTTGGGGTCCCAGTTTGACATCTAGATGAAGCGAATTCGCTTAAAATTACAAAAAAATTCAAGACGGGAGGTAAAATGACTTCCCTTGTCAGAATGATTTCAACTCAATTCCAAAAACATTCCAAACGATCGATGGAGAAAATGGTTTACTAATTGCCATTATCAATATGGTAACCCCTTGTTTGATATTAATACCTCACCAATGGCCATAATCAGCTTATTTCACATGTTTCGATGGCCTAGTTTTCTGGTGCACCGAATATCACAATAAGTTTAGAATGGAGGTCCGATTTCATTAATCATTTAATGATACGAATTGAAACAATCGAAGGAACTCGAATCATTCGGTTTGAAGAATATTCAAAAGATGACGTTTAACTAAAAACAACAATTATTTTCAAATATCGATGGTTCTTATCAGTTGTACACCACTCAATGTTTGGTGATCAACGTTTTCTATAATTTTCTATATTTGCCTAATGATTTATGCGAAACTAACGTTTTACTGTATTTTGATATGTCTCGTTTTGACGTCGCCGACGACTACCGACTTCAGTGAGTTGAATCTAGCTGATCTGATCGACGAAAATAGTTCAGAATGCTCGAATTTAAATCCGCTGAAAATGCGAGCCGGCGAGACGATTTATATTCCGCACAATTCGACATTTCCGTATTCGATTCCAGCAAATTTTAATTGCACATATTTGGTAGGGAAATTATTTAATCAAATCGTATTTGACAGAAAGTGTCTTGGAATTTGAATTGAATTTTTTTTTAGTTTATTGTCCCTATCGGAGAATATCTGCGAATGAGTGTGATAAACTCACTTGTCGGAAAAGATTATATCGAGTTTCGCGATTCGCTCAAATACACACAAAAGATTACCACGTACATGAATATTTGAAACGGCATCTTTAACTGAAAATGCTTTTGAGGACCGCAATTGCAAATGAGGAGTTATTCTCGACGACTGGAACAGGACATATTAGCATTCGAACATTTAATGGCGGAAACTCGAAAACACTACTAAAATTGGAATGGCTGAAAAGTTTTGAATTCATTCGGCAAAATCAAATTTGTATTGTTTTTATTTTTCAGTGCCTCGTTCGAAATCAACCCTTTCACTTGAGAAAAATGCAAATGGAAAATTTGTGGATTGCGGAGTTTTGCAGAAATATCCAATCACTTTTAAAGCAGTGGATGTCAACGAGACTGTAAATTTCGTTAAAACTGAACCAATTTAATTCCGAAATATCGTTCAGCTCGCAGTGTCGGTTGCACATTCGGGATACATTTTGGACAAATTTGAGAGCTTTTTCATCTTTGATGGTCCCAACACGGATAGTAAAGTTGTCGGAAGGTAATATATTTCAATAGGATGTTGAAGAGGGGAAATTTTTAGAATGTCGGATCATACGGTGGTCCCATTCATATCATCATCGCGATATGTGACAATTGTCGGGTTTTCGAGACTAATCGTCTTTTCAGATATATTAGTCAATTATGAATCGAGTAATATTCAAATTCTGGCTCGAAATGTTGAGATTTAGACATCAAAAAATATCGAAAATACAATTCGGGTGTGATTATTGACCAACAAGGTGCCATATTCGACTCAATTAATCAAACAGTCGCCGTCACTTTTATTGCCAAAGATGGTGTCGAACTTTATATTACCAAATTGACTTTCAACGAAGTGGTATCGACCATTAATTTTTAATTTATGTAGTATAAAAGAAATTTACAGGAAAATGAGAATTGCACAATGACAGTGATCAGCGGAACGCCGTCTCCAATTTCCAGGGATTTGGTCAAATACACGTGTGATTTTTAGAAAAATTCCACTTCTCCCGAAAAAAAAAACATGGGTTTTATTCTAGAACACTGTCGCCTTTGCCTAAATGCTTCCCTCAACAATTTCCAGCTCCGCTGTTCACCATTGAGCTTACCGACTGCTCGATATACATAGTTGTATCAAAGAATACACCAGGTCTCAAATTCGTATTATCTTACGAATAAAAATTGAATGATTTCAGAAAATTTTTACAATATCACGACTGATAGAATTGGATACGCATTTACGGCGAGTTATCTCGAGCCAAGCCTTTCTTCTCAATTGGATTTCACACTCAGTAATTCTTTATTTTTTTTTTCTACTAATTCAATATTGACTAGGCAGTAATCAATCGCTGACATATTCGACCACGGTGGAATCCGTGGAAGTTGTCAATGACGAGAAGCTGACAATCAATGTGTATTCGCACTCGGGAAAATCTCAAATGAGCATGGTGTACGTCGAAATGTTTGATTGATTTTTTGGTTCCTGCTCAATTCAAAATGAGCAATTTTTGTGCAAACAAATCGTTTTTTTGTCAAACTTGCCACATGTGAAAGTTTTTTGGCGGAAGTGTGATTGCAAGACATCTGTGCAAATCTTCAATAGTTTTTTTGGTTACAATTATTTTATTCGTCCTTTAAATCAACTACAAAAATGTGTCTTTTCGAAATTTCGTGCCACGGATTTTTTTTGCACTGTTTGAAGCTAGCCGTGCCGACAAAATTCGACTGCCTATTTTTCGTTTTGTAATTTTTTAATTTACAGAAAAAAATGTACTTTTCGAAGTGTTCAAATCACAAAAAATGCGCACTCTGTGTAGATTTACGATGTTTGATTCGCAGGTAGCCGTAGTACGGTACCCGAATTCCCATTGTTTAGTTTGAAGCAACGTGAATTTTTTGTGAGACCACCTTGAAAAATGTGAATGTCATATTGATAAGATTTACCGTAATAATTCTGAGGTTTTTCGTAGTGTATTGTTATATGCTAAACGGATCGATTGTTGTTGGATTATAGTCGGCAACTAATGACAATGGTCTCGCGAATGTTTGATTTTTAATTTCCCATAAAATATGTAGTCGTCGGACTATGTAAAAAAAAAGATCGAACACTTTTAGCTGAAATTTTATATTACACCCCTCTGGGAGATTTTATTTAAAACAAGTCAATCCGACTGCTGCATAGTATTACAAAATATTTGAGAAAACGATCTCATTTCATTTTTTTGGTCCTATCGTTTCTTACAGAACAAAAGTTTTGATACTGATGTATATGACGAAAATGAATGAAACAATTTCCGGTGTACAAACCATATTATTTCCGATTTTTTCAGTGTGACCGGAAATCAAACAGGCGGCGGCGCCGACGCCGTCGGCACCTCAGTCAACATCCGATTCAATGGCACACATGGCACGGGATCCGCGAAAATCCGCTACGCCATCGGCAAATCGGCCCCCGGCCGATTAAGGGATTCGTGGACGTCGGCGGCGGCGACCGTGGTGCTGCTGTCGCTGATTGTTTGAATTTCCTAATAAACGTGTATATTCATTCATCATATATAATACATATATCTGCAGTTTGCGTCCTCCGTCTCGCCGCTTTATTTACCGTTGAGGATGATGCGAACCCTATTGCGCTCAACCAAAAAAAGCACAGAAAGACGAATAATCGATAATTGTCGACGACCGTTTGTGACACGCAAAAAAAAAAATAAAATGCAGCCGCGAACGAAACCAATCATTTTTGTTGGTTTGTGTCTGCCTATTTCCTATGCTCGCCGTAATTTCATTCGAACCAGATTTTTGCAATCATTTTTTCCGCTTTCCTCCCAGTATAATCCTATCCTCCATCGACGTCTAGTATCAAATATTTTGTCTCGTTTCATTCCTTATTTTTAATCTAAAAATTAAGGCATCTCATCCGAGAAAAACAAAAAAGATTTGCTGGGTGTATTAAAAAAGAATTATTTTCAACATTAACGAACCGTTACTAATATTTGTGGACACATTTTTCCTATTTTCCTGTATTTGTCCCGAACTTTGCAGTTTTCAAGCAAAGAAATTCCATTGATCCGCGCGTTTTCCCTAATTTGTGTTATTTATAATTTTCATGTTTCATAGAAAATACAAATTCGTCTAAATAATCAAATTTTAATAAATTAGTATCAATTTAACATAGAATAATAGTATAAATATATTGAATAATAATAATAATAAAATTAATATTGAATAATAATAGTATTATGAAAAAGTAAAAAAAGCGAGATCCCTATAAAACATTTTTTATAGTTGTAAACACGCGCACGCCAAATTGCACACATCTAAAACTTTGTTTAAAAATTTCAGTTCTCTTCTTTTTCTTAACGAAATTATTAATAAAACCGAAAAAATTGTATATATATTTTATTGAATATGTTTTAAAATTTTACACATCAAATTTTTGGTGAACTGCACAGGGGGATTTGCAATGTTCGAAAAATTCCAATTTTCCAAAAATATTTGACTGCAAATCTCAAATTTAAAAACCAAATGAAGCCAAAATTATTCATGCACGAACGTTATTTTTAAATCCAATTCCCATGACGGCTTTATTTTGCACGAAACGAAGACCTTCATTAAACAGTCATCGTTAATATTTTGCACCGCATTCGGAATGAATTTTGCTTTGCCTAGTGCACTTGTTCCATTATCCTTTTTTCAAAATACTTTCCACTATACAAAATAATGGAATAATATATTCCAAAAGCAACCACGGCTTTCCCATTTTCCCACACATTAATAAATCAGTAACAAAATTAGTATTCGCGCTGGGAAGGGATTGCCGAATGTAAAGTTTCGTTTGCCTGTCGGCTCTTTTTACACCTGGCTCTTTCCAAAAAAAAATTGAAAAACAAATAAATGATTCCGCACCATTTAACATCAATCTCCTCGCATTCACGTTTCATTCTTTCATTCAGCTTTTTTTCTCGATAAAATCTTTTAGAATGAAGAAAAAAGGTCGAGGACGAGCAATTCGCATTATGTGCAATATCCATTTCCTATTTTGCGTATGTCCTTGACTAATATATTTATTTTTTTTTGCCGGAGAGAGGATACAAAATGTGCATTTTGTTCTTCTCCATCTTATTGAATATTTGATCTTTTCCGCCTTTGTTCTTTTCTAGACCCTCGCATTTCCGATCTGAATTTGAGAGGTGTAGGCGGCTCATGTAATCTAGGCAGCGTTGCCCGTGGAAACCGTCGGCACGAGCAGCGGTCGTATCACATTGAAATGAAGCCGCTCTCCCGCCTGGACCAGTCTATTATTGTTCTGCCTACCCTAGAAAACGAACGAAAACAAGAACACGCTCACAGCGATTCGGTTTTCTTTTTTTTTTTCGTTGAAATCCTTGGCTTCGTTAATCTCCAGCCGCGTTTAAATAGTTTTCAAAAGTTCGACGACACAGAGAAAACAAATCAATCTTGCTTTTTCATGTGTTCCTGCTAGCGAACTTCTTGCACTAAAGTGTCCTCAATTTCTTTCGAATTTCTCAACAAGGTAGCTTTATTTGGAAAAGTGAAAGACGGAGAAGAGAAGAGAAAATTGCTTTTTTTTTCGGCTCATCGAAACAGTTTTAGTCGATTAATTTCTTCCGGCTTCAAAACTGAAATAAATATAACACAATTTGAGATTCAAGTGTTTCGTTTTCGTTCTAGTGTAATCATTTTTTATTATGTATTTCAAAAAATTTTTTAATGTGACTTCTACTCATATCTGTGCAAACGATATTAAAATTTCGCAAATTTTTACGATAAACTGAATTCATTTTTTTATTATTTCCTGGAGCATTTTTGGAAAAATATTGTTCAGTTTTCAGCTGAAATGATTTATTCTTGAGAAAACTAGGTCGTTCGATACTTTGAACTTTTGGACTATCGCCACACGAATGTTTGGCTGCTATAAATGACGTAGGAACTCTTAATTATTTTAATAAGAACCCAATTACTGGTTCAAAAAGTATGAGCCTTTAAGAGTCGAGTTGGAATTTTAAGAGCGTTTATTAACAAAAACGCATATATTATTCGAAATTTTTGTGTTTTTCTTTTCATTTCAATTGCAAATAACAAGACAATGTTTGTGCTTGAAGATCAAAGCAATACAAATAAAATTTTGCTATTACACTTTTTCTCCGGACAGTCGCATTAGAATTCCTTATCTCATTTATCATCTATCGATTATATTTATCAATGCTAACCATTCGTTCTCGCCATATTATTATTATTATAATATTACTAAAGATGGAAATTGTTTCATTTTTTGTGGTCGAGAAAATGTAATACATTTTTAATATTCAATTTTAAAAAAACGGTAGAATCGCGTCTCTGCGCTCTATTCCTAATAGATTTTTTCGTGGGATCGGAAAATGTAAAAATTATACTTTTTTCCATGGAATGACTGTTAAAAAATGCACATTTAATGCAATTTTTAAATTTTTTTTGTAAAAAAATTCAAAAAAAATTTTTTTAAATACATGTAGTATAGAATGTTGCATTGTCATTTCCATTCCTCCCTTTTTTGATGACTCATTTTCAAACTTTTTCCGCCTTTCAAAACGTTCATTGATGTTCTCTAGCAAGCTTCAGCAATTTTTTCTATGCTTTTACCCGAAATTTTCCATATTATTCGTTTATAACATCGAGGCGTCACTGTAAAAACGCACTGTCGACCTCTTCTCCCCCATTTTCGCCCAGGCTTTTCATAGACGATCATTACCACAATTTCTCGACCGGACACCTAAAAATCATTCGCCATTCGCGGATTTAATGGTTTCGATGCGAAAATTGGCTGTTCGCACTAGAAATCTCAAATCGTTCACTGTTAATGAATAGTTTCGCCAGCCGGTTTGCCACTTCCAAACAATTCTAATTGGTCCATTTTTAGTAGGGATCGCAACACGCGGCTTTTGTGACGCAATAACTCATTTCACGTGAAATTTTGCATTCTCAAATCATTTATCAAACTTGATGCGCCCGAAACTAGCATGTTTCAGGAACTAACTGAAAATCGATGTGAGAAAATGATTCCGATTCGATTCTATCGTCGACGATCAATGCAACTTCTCTTTAAGGTTCGCATTTCTTCCAACAACAAAGTCGTTCAGTTTTGTCAACATTTACAGGGTATTGTACTTGTCTTGTTATGCTTGGTCGTTGTAAATTTAACAGCTTCACATCCGAAAGGACGATTATCTGTTCAAGAGGTTCGTTGTAATCGAAAATTCGTGAATTTCGCATAGTTACAGCTTAATGCCGCTAATAAAGCTGATGAGATTCTGATTAAAAAACGAGAGAATGCAGATCCGCCAATTATGGTGCCGCCGAATGAGCCAGCACCACAAAAAATGGAAACTGTAGAAACAATAGAGAAATTTTCCTGACATTAAACTGTTTTAGACCAAAGATGTGACGGAATCGGCAGCATCTGTCGTAATCAATAAAGCGCCATTCGTTCGGGAAAGCAGAAAAGTTCAATTTTCGTTTCCAATTGTTTTTCAACCTTTGAAGATTTAGGGGCAATTTTATGAGAATGTCGTCGTACACTTTGATCTCAAAGGAGCACCGCCGAAAGTCGCCTATTTCGTTGATCTTTTGAAATTGGCGGCGAAGGGCGGCGCTTCGGGAATTCTTCTTGAATGGGAGGATATGTTCCCATGGAGTGGAGAATTAGAAAAGTTCAAAAATACTGATGCATATTCAATGAAGGATGTTGAAACGATATTAAACACCGCTAGGTATGTTATCATAAATTATCGATGTTACTGATCTAATTTTGTGCTAATTTTTTCAAATAACGATGCAGTTAAAAATGATTTCAATAATTTTGAAAGAAAATAATTTTTAAAATAATAGTGATATTTCCATGTAAAAATTTGAAAAGTAATTCGCTATGCGCGTCGTCAACGAGAAGCACTTCCGTAATGCGTACATTGCATTTTATCGTACGCGCATTTAACTCGGCAAGCACATCGATCGAATCTGTGTTTTTTTTTCGCTTTTGGCGAAACAGTGGCAATAAAATAAAACAAATTTGTTGTATTTTTCGAAACGGCTAAAACCGAATAATTCACTGTTTCGCCCGATGAGTTTGTCGGGTGTAATTTTTTTATTATCGTATTTTCTTTCAGTTCACTAGGATTAGACATTATTCCACTAGTTCAAACGTTTGGTCATCTTGAATGGATTTTGAAGTACGAAGAAACTAGAAAATACAGAGAAAATGACGCTTATCCTCAAGTCCTCTGCCTTGGAAATCAGGAAGGTGTTAATTTGATAAAGGAAGCTTTACGTCAAGTTATTGAAACACATAAGAAATATGGAATCACCTTCATGCATATCGGTGCTGATGAAGCCTTTGAGGTAACGACATCATTTAACATAATACATTATGAATTTTAGTTTGGTGTGTGCGCTGAGTCAAGAGAATGGATTTCCAAAAATATTGCGGACGGAGGAAAGCAACTCCTAGCGTTGGCACATTTGAAAAATATTGCAGAATTTGTCAAGAAAACCGCCGGCGATGAAACAACGTAAAGTTGAATATATTTTTGATATTTTAAACAGCTGTTTTCAGTGTTTTGGCCTGGCATGATATGCTTAAAGACTTTGATACACGCCTGATCAAAAAACTGGAGCTAGGAAAAGTTATCGAACCAGTTGTATGGGACTATTCTGAGAATATCGTAACATTAAACGGTAAGTCCAAAAGTAAAATTGTAAAATTTTCGTCGTCGCTCGTCTACGGAAAATTGGTTGAATACCTAACAAATATTTAGCGAAAAGCCTTATTGAGCCCTGTGCGTCTTTAACATATCTTTCCTCCACACTTTGTTTTTGCGCCAAGACCAAGTTTAAAGTTTTTTTTTTTCGATTTTTCCAATTTTCCGCTGTCGCGCGATGAAAAATTTTGAAAAATTAAAATTATTATATTCAGATTATATATTCTCAAGCTTGGCAGAAAACTTTCCAACGATGTGGGCATCTTCGGCTTTCAAAGGTGCCAATTATCCATCTGTTTCGTTTTCAGACGTTCATCATTATGAAGTGAATAATCGAAATTGGATTCCCACGAAACGAGTATGCTTTTTGGGACAACCAACATTTTAATTTTTAATGTTCTTTTTAGAAAAACGAGCGAAAGTTCCAAAACGGTTTCCGCGGAATCATCATTACTGGTTGGCAGAGGTACGACCATCTAGCTGGCCTCTGCGAAATTCTACCCATGGGAACACCATCAATGATTCTACAACTTCAAATTGCAATCACTGCGCCAAATTTGGACGAACGCGTTTACCGGGCGAATGCAGCCAAGATCCTGGAATGTTCGAGTTTCACTGTTGCCGGAAAAACTGATGTTATCAGTAACAAATGCGGATTCCCAGGTTTGTCTAATAAATTAATTAAAACGTTTGAAATATCTCATTCAGGGTCTAATGTATACATGTTATACCAAAGTGTTGCTCAACGGACATTGAAGAGTATGAAAGATCGACTTGGTGAAAATCATCATTTAATGGGTTGGGCGAATCGTTATAATCGAAAATACAACATATCACAGAATTGGTAAAATATATTAGAAGAATTTTCGAAACGAAGTATTTTCAGGTATCACAAAGAAATGCGGCCATTCATATCGTCAATGCTTTCTGAATACGATAATCTTGTAAAAAGCTTTAGGTATTTATTGATGTTTCGTATTCATTTTTGAATTCGACAATTTTCAGGAGAGAAATGTCTCCACATTTCTTCGATAACACAATTGAGGAATTCATTTATGAGAATCTTGAAGAAATGGGCGAAGTGATTCGCACATATCATAATTCCATTAACCAATTGAACACACTCCGAGTGTGGCCGAAACGGCATTTTTCTCTTGCTTTGGACAAATTATAACCGAGCTTTATATTACGGATTCGCTTGACTTTGCCACCGACGCGTGCTGGTATCTCATTCAAATGTAGATAATTTGATAACTATTTAATATGCCGGGTTAAATTCATATTTATTTATTTATATTTGTGATTATGGTAATTGTAATTTTGTTGTTTGTTTTGATGCCATTGATCAGGGATAATTAGGATAAATGTTCTCAACACTAAAATAATTCATTTCATATTCACGTGACCTTACACGTGCAAATCCTGTTCAGACCGTTTTTTCATTTTCAACTGTGATTTTTGCTTGCGAGACGTTCGCTTGTTGATATTCGAAATGGCCGAGAATTCAGAAGAAGGGACAAAACGTGATGAATTTGATTCAAGCTATATACCTGTTGGATTACAAACAATTGAAAAGAGTTCGCAAGTATTTTTATTTCAAACATTTTTGTTTGATTTAATAGTAGTTATGTTTTGTAGAATACAATTCCCAAAAGTTTCAATTCTGATATCAGCGAATTTTATAACATAACGCCTGCCGCCCAATCTTCAAGTAAATTAGTATTATAATTCCATATTTCTAGTGAATTCTCAGCTCCGCCTCCTCCTGCTCCTTCTACTAGTGGAGAAACGGTTTATACGGAAATTGGGCAGATAAGTAAAGAAGCCGTCAATGAATTCAAACAAGAAGAATATGATTCGTCGGTCCTACCAAATGTGTGTTTTTTAAAATTATTATCTCAAATGGTTTTCTTTAGAATAACCGTACCTATTTTCCACCATCACAATATGTTCAATTCCATGGAAATCCCATAATGCCGTTTGCGCCGAGTATTCCCAATTTTCAGCAGCATTTGAATAATGGGATTCCAAGAAATGTACGTCGCTTCTCAACAAATTAACAATGAGAAGTAACGAGTTTTGTTCAGCATGCGATATGTGTGCCGCCTGGACAACCGTATGTTCACACAGTTCCGGCGACGGTCATCCCGCACATTGTAACACCTCATGGATTGATCCCGATGACTCAGAGTATCACGCAAATCGAAGTTCCGCAATCGATTTTACCGCCAATTTCACCTGTGGTGAGTTTTTTTTTCTTTTTCGTTTGAATAGTTTTGTGAAATATGAAATATCACGGTTTCAGGCGCATCGTTTGATGATTCTGAAGCAGAATGAAGCACAGAAAGAGGCGAAACGACTAGCAAAGTTGGAATCAATGGCAAGGTTCTAAAATAAACTTGAATTTAGATGAAATAAGGATGGTTATGAAAATAAAATTTAAAAACAACTCCCGGAATTCAGTTATATGCGTTAGTTATTTGTAGATTAAAAAAGGAGCGCGAAGAGCGACGAGCTTTGAAACGATTAGGACTCCCCAAGCAGAAAAGAAATCGAGAAAAAGATGATGATGAAGATGAAGATGTAACATCATCGACTTTTTCGAATCTAACGAAGAAGAAAGCTCATCCAGTCAAAACGATGCCATTTAGCGTATGCTCACTTTTGAATCTGAGAAATGTTCAAATCAAAAATTGCAGAAAGATTCATTCGTCATTCGCCTCAAAGATATTGATTCGTTTAGTCGAAGTAATGAGATTTGGAGAGTTGACAATCACATTTTGATGCAAAAATTCACTGGGGTGCCTTCATTTCGGGCTCCAGCTCGGCAATTTCAATCAACGAATCGGGTAAGTTTGAAATGAACGATGCTCTCTATTAATTTACATCAAAGATGTCTGGATATGATTTTCGTGCAGCCTGGAGGTTTTACGTGATTAATCCCGAAAATGTTGAATTCGATCGATGCAGCTCGGAGGTTGTTCGGTATTTTTGTATTAAATTTACATTTTTATTCAGATAACTGTGCATTATTTTCCGGATATCACAATTCTGCGCGAAGCGAAGAAATTCGCCGAAGCGAAAGACGAAGAATTTGTGAGTGCAAATCTTGCGAAACGTAACTGTTCTTTTTTTTTTAGAAAAATGTTGAAAATGATGAATATCGAGAAAAGCTAATGATGCTGCAGAAGAAGCAGGACAAATCGCGAGCTGAACGACTACTGCGGATGACTGAGCGAAGGCAGAGGAAACTTGAAATGAGATACAAAGTAATGCAGTCGAAAAAGGAAGAAGGCTTCAAAATCCCGAAAAGATCAATCAAGCCTTCATGGATTGATTATCGCAATCGACTGGGAAGCGCTTCTGTGAATGTGAGCATGTTGAGGAAAAGTCATCTCCCGACGTATTTCAAAACTCAGGTCTACCTTTAAAATCGAACACACTGAGCTCAGGTTTCAATTTCAGAAGTCTTCAAGCGATGAGGAAAGCAGTGAATATATTTGCCATCAAGTGCTCAATGAACTGATTGAGGCTATTATTGAGCATGAGCATGAGGAATGTGCTGTTTCGAGCAGTGATTGGGACAGTGAGAACGAGGAGAGCAGCACCTCACAAACGACGGTGACCGAGAATCATATCTACTACGAGGATGATGTTCCCGTAGTTGGATGCGAGGTGACTTTAACATAAAAATCATACCATCATCATTTATTCATTATACCAACATTTCTATATAATCATGTTTACTAGTAAATAATAAATTATTTATTTTAAATAAAAAAGACGGAGGCAATTTTATCTAAATATATGAATTTTTAATTAATACATACTTTAGAAGGTTGGTTTGGCTTTTGTGGAGATGTATCCGTAGTGCGAAATATGAAAAAGAGGCGGATGAACGAGTTGATACATATTACAATGTTGGACATATAGATTATTTTACAAGTTTCAAAATTGTTGGTAGAACTTGTGATCCTCAAAAAAACAAATACCGGCACCCGCCTTGGCTGTTGGTGGTGTATCCTTGAATTGGAGCCGAGATGTAAAATTTGGGGACTTGTTCAGGAGCTGGACCAGTTTGTGTTGGTTGTTGTGGCTGTTGAACAACAGCAGCGGTTTGTGTTTGTTGCTGTTGGAGCTGCTGATGCTGATCCTGCTGAGGGAAATTCTGCGGTTGGGCTACCGTCGTTTGGCTACTGAAAAAAATATTCATGCTTAAAACAGTAAATAGAACTCGTACTCCTTCACGTCATCGCGGAATCTCTTTACTTGTGGCGCTTCTTCGATCTCATCGAATGGAGCAGTTCGGCGACGAATTCCTATTAAAAAAAATGGGTTTCGAATCAATTGCATATGAAATTTTTTACCATATTGACAATCCATTTCGCTCTGATGTTGGATTTCTGCAAACCAGATGTTTCAAATAACAATAAAAAACGAAGATGAGAAACGGATAAGAATTTTCTATTATTGAAAATTGAAAACAATCCCCGGAAGATATCATTTTGGCGAAGAATGGTGATTAAAAGTGAGGTCTAGTGAGATTTGCAAAACTTGTCGAGACCTTCTTTGCACTTTTCTATAAATCGCCGCTTATTCATTTTTCGAATTTGAGAAAAATTTAAATTTACGTTTCGTCGACTTCTTCTAGGGCGCTGATGGTATGGGTTTCATAAGAAAGCGACAATTCTTTAAAAAAAAAGAGCGTTCGAAACGTTATCGGCAAATGTGTTCATATTAGAAAACACCGTGAGCAAACGTGGGAGAGAATATCAAGAAAGGAGGTGAATGAACATACAATCGTTGACCGACTAAGCAATGTTGACACGAAACGTTTAGCACGCAAACTTAAGATTTCTTTCGGAAATTTTGATAGGTAAATGAATTATATATCATATATAGTAGGACGTTAAGCATCAAAATAGAAAAAAAATGTATAGCAAGGCTAACTATATACTCGTCTGCAGAAATGTCGCTTGTTGACCACACAAACGAATAGAATGGACCAGGGAAAAACAACTCGAGGAGAGAAACAGCTGTGCAGCAGCTTCGCCTCGATTCTATCAGTGAATGTGATGGCGATTTATGTGAACCATCGCAGCGAACTTTTAATCAGGTTTCGCGACGAACCATTTATTTATGATTTATTATAACGGTTGATGAGACCATTTTGGGAATATATCGCCCATTGATTTTTGAACTTATGTGGGATACAAATAAGAATGATTCGGCACGTCATATGATGGATATCTTTCATGAATTATACAATGCATGGTTAGAGAATATTGTGAAGTTTTTTTTCTTTCGGGAAAATTGTATTGGGAATCAAAGTTATTCTAATATACAGGGTGTCATTTAAGTTCCCGCACAACTTTGAAGACGTATATTTCTGAAACTAAAGGTCCAAATCAAACGAGACTCGAAATATTTTTTATCTATAGTATAACAAATATTTATCTATTAACTCTTATCGATTCGGCCTCCTTTCGGAGCTATGACTTCACAGAGACGCTTCGGGTAGGATGCGACTGTGGTACGCAGGTATTCGATGGAAAGATTGTGCCATTCCGCCAGTAATGTCTTCTTCAGAGTCTCTACACTTGAGTGGGGTTTTGCGCGTTGACCTTCTCCTGCAAGACCCCACACGGAGAAGTCAAGCGGGTTCAGGTCTGGGGACCAATCAGGCCATTCGGATGACTTGATGAAGTCGGGAAAATGGGTCTGGCACCACTCCTGAGTAGTTTTGGCAGTGTGGGCGGGTGCTCCGTCCTGTTGAAAGACCCATTTCTGCCCAACGAAATGCGTTTGGGTCCAGGGCATCACATGCTCCTCTAAAAAGTCCCGAACGTAGACTTCTTTGTTCATTTTCATCCCCTGATCTGCAAAAACCAGGGGCGCTTCCCGGTTGAGCAGATGGCACCGAAAACCATCATACTGGCAGGATGTGAGGCTTGATGTATTGTTCTGCTTTTCTCAGAAGCTTGCTGGGATGTCTGGGCAAGTACTCGATGGTTTTGTGAGTTGAATGCCGCCTCCACAGTGAATAGCTTCTCGTCGGAGAAGACAGTGACGAGATGTTCTCCAGACTGCGTGCGAGCAAGAAGTTGTTTTGCTTTTTCGAAGCGTCTCTGCTTGTTGACGGCCGATAGAATTGCCGCTTTTTGGACACGATATGGGGTCAGTCCAAGCTTCGTTTTGACGATTTGTTCCATAGCGAAGATGCTCATTCCCACGTCTGACGCCATCTTTCTCATGCTCCTGTGGGGGTTTCGCCTGATCCTCGATTTGACGGCGTTTATCTTCTGAGGAGTGGTTACTGAGACGAGTCTTCCTTGTCTGGGACGGTCACTGGTCGTATTTAGCTCCTTGAAACGTTTGATGGTGTCGCAAACCGTTCTACGAGGCACAGCGAGGCGTTCAATGATGTCTCTCGGGCTCACATTTTGCTTATGAACTTCGATAATGGAAGCGCGATGGATGTTAGCCTTCGCCATTTCTCGGAAACACATCCGAAAGAGGTGAAACATGGAAAGTAAGTAAAATATACCTTATTTAACAAAAATAAATTGTATTGGTGCACGAAAAGTGCGCCAGCCAAGCTCTTCATGGCGTCAAACTTTTGTGCGGGAACTTAAATGACACCCTGTAGTGATAAAGTTAGTAGTATTTAAAAAACAAGCAATTGTTTATGATTGCTTACTAATTCACATTATGAAGATTTAAAGAAGGAATACGTATGTAATTCGTTAATTCAGCTGTGGCAGAAAATGAAACCCAATATTCTGAAGTAATTTGATCTTCTGAATAATTTTTTAGCAATTAAGATTGATTTTCGATGCTTAACGTCCAAATATGAACCTAGTTGATCCGATAAGAGCTAGCGACTAATAGAAAAAATAGAAAGGGAAGATGGCTGAAGCAGTTTGATAAATGGAACAAAAGTTTGAAGTTATTTTTAGTTTGAGATGAGATGGGAGCTTTATCACGTAAGTTTGTGTCCTTTTCACATATTGGCGATTCCAAAGAAACTCGAATTTTGACGATTGAAAATGTCATAAACGAATGAATAGTGATGCTAAATAGAACAATGCATTAATGAGAACAAACGAATTTCGAAGATTCTAGTTAAGCGAGAGGCAAACAACATTGATAAGATTCCTAACGAATTTCCTTCGCGGTAAGCTGACAATATTGAAGCCAGTGTTGATGGTTACGAGTGTACGGCTTGATAAACTCAGTCCTCAGACATGATACAGTATAGCGAATAAGATTGTGGGAATATTGGCATGAGGAATCGAGGACGCGGATCTCATGCATCACACCTGCCTAATATGTGTATCTCGAGAATGGCGCGAACTCGCTGAAATTTAAAAGTAGCGTTTTTTTGGACGCTAAGTGACTGGTACGCGCGCGGAGTGTTCATACATTGGTTTTGAGGAGTTGAGAGAATCAAGTTGGCATTGAGGGTGCAGACAGGTTCGACAGTTTGTGTGGGGTTGAAGAGAGAACAGACATCAAGCAAGAGAGTATTGGGATAGAAGGACAAAGGGAGAATGAAGAAATTAAAAATTGATCAGAGCGAAATAAGAATATCAGCGTGCAAAAAAAGAAATGAAAAACAAAAATAAAATATGGATATAGTAGAAAGATTGAGTAGATCATTCAAAAATTTTTGATTCGAATAAAATTATTTCTCGCCACACATAACTAATCTTGCTAAGTTTTTGATACAATTTTCTGAACGGATTAAAATAAATTTTAAATTTGGAAAAACGCAAATAAAAAAATTCGAATAGCAAAAAATTAACAATCTCGCGTAAATTACAGTAAATTGGAGGTTTAGTTTATCCGTAGCAATATATAAATATACAAATCCCCAAATTTATAGCGGAATTGACGAGCCAAAATAATAGAAAAATGGTTTGGAAATACATAAGAGGCTGAAAATTTTTGCTATGGTATTGCGAAAATATCCCCATTTTCATGTTTGTTAAATTCGGATCTATCTTTTTTAAATTAAAAAACCGCGCAAGCTTTTTTTTAGATTGTCTACGGGCCAGGCGAAAATTCAAAAAAATCAAGAAAGCCTTCCGAATAACTGGATCGGTCACGAAATTAGCAAGCCTTCCTAAATTTATATATGAAAATTAATGTATAGTCTGCTTCTGAAAACATCGGCTACCAGAATCAGTATTTACAAGACCCCACTCAATTTCGCATTATGCCCAAAGAACTCTTCTCGAAATCGAGAATGTCGAAATTATCCAATTTAAGCATATATTAAATGATCTCCAAAACCAAACTATCCAATAGCATTCGTTTCAAAAAATAGTTTTATCAACGAATGTTTTAATCGGTCCAGCTAGGGAATAAATAAATAATTTTCTAAAATTAAAATCTCACAAAGAACACGGAATCATTAAAATAAAAATATTCAATAATAATTTTTCAACTCTTCTAAATGGAATTTAGCGTCTTTGTTCACAGCATAACTCAGAAAAAAGCCTAAAAATAGAGATTTGGAATATCCTTTTGTTTGAGGTCATCTCGAGAGTTTCAAAGTACAAAAAGTCCGAAAAAACCATCATCATTGTGTTCAATAAACAAATGTTATGATTGTTTGTCTTTTCAGAAAATCGTATTTCGAGAAAAAAACCCAAATCTTATTACAAAGATAACAGAAAAAAGACAAGTGAAGAAATAAACTCGAAAAATTATTTTAAAAAAAGCGTAAATCGGCGCGGGGTGCTTTTTTGTTATTGGAATAAGAAATAACTTGTTGAAAATTGACAATGTTCACAAACAAAAATTAATTATTAAATTAATGGTACTATGCATATTAAAAAAAATCTCAAAAAATATAGGTTTTTAGAACGTTTATTGTAAACGTCACGCGACTGCGGAAAAATTGGCTAAATGCCACAAAATTTAAAAAGAGGTCTCGGTGCGTGGTGTGCGCCTTTAACCTATCTTTATACATTGGCCCGTAAATCTACACGTTTTTTTTTTAAGGCAAGACTACTGTCTAATTTTTTGGAATTCAGCCAATTTTCCACAGTCGCGCGACGCCGACAACAATAATTCTTCATCGTTTTTTTTTTTGCAAAATCCGGATTCCATAAATTTATTTCTTAAGAAAAATTTTAAAAATTCAAATTGCCAATTTGAAATCACAATAATTGTCGGTAGAGCGCACTTGCAACATTGAATCATTTTTTGAAGGTTTAAAAATTTTTTTTCAAATTTAATAGACGACCAGATCTGAAACGCCACGTTGAGCTGAGCAGATTTCGCCTTGTTCATGGAAGACAGTGATTTTAATCGCACATTTTTACCAGGTTTCCAACTTCTCGCTCTGTCTGAATTCCTACAGGTCCATCTCAAAATATGGCCAACGACGTCTCATATTTCGACGAATCCTATGAATCCTTTAACAATCGCCTCTTTGTTTTGCCTTTCTCTAATGACAGAAAATAAATAATAAAAATTAGTACTCCTTAGATATAAGTTGATCAGAACCTGCTAAAATAGTGTCAAATTTGCAAGTTTTTCTTTTTTTTTGGCTGAATGTATGAAAGACTCACCGATTCACAGATGTCGAACTGAAATCCTTCAGCGCATCATCACAAATCTTTTATATTATGCACAACAACGTATTTTTGCTTTTTACCTTTCATTTTTATTTGTTATGCCCTTTTGTCATTTTTTTAAAATCGAATATCACTAATAATTGTTCTTTCGCCTTTAAGATGAAAATAAACACAATTGCGCGTCATTTAATTGTTATCAATTTCCTACTATTTTTACTCGAGGGTGTTCGCTTCGATAACGTGTGAATCGCAAGTGTAGAATATGACATCACCCAAAAAGTACAACGACATTCACGTGAAAGTCGCGCTAAATAAACTTTTCATTTATTTCAAATTTAAATCGAGAAGCGTGACAACTAATATGGTTTTTATTTGAAATCACTATTTTGAAAACCCTTCCATTTCTGAAATCTCGGAGAAATCTGGCTTCTGCAAAAATCCAATTTTTCAAACTTGAAATTCATTTGGTGATGCACATATTCAAAGATATATGTATATTCGATGTTTTGGTTCCTCGATTTTTGCTAAACGAGTGGTGTCTGATCATTGCTATCATTAAACGATCTTTTTCGAGTTTCTACGTATCTTTAAAGATAAGACAAATAATTGATCAAGAAAAAGTGATTAGAAAAGATCAAAACGAAATTGGGTTAATTTTAGGAAAAAAATTATATATCTTGAAATACACACTTGCTTGAAAGGCGCAATTTAAAAAGATTTTTCCAGTCGAATGTTCGTATTTCGAGTCGAGTCGTATTTTGAGTAAAAAAATTTTAAATTGTACTTTTCACTAAAAAAAATCAGAAGAAATCAATATTAATTAAACTGAATCAACCAGTGGAGTTTAAAAATTAAAAATATTCCGCTAAAAACCTAATAACATAACGATGGACCAACATTATCAGAATGGGAATTTTTTTCGCATTGAGTAAATTATTACATTCTGCAGAGTAACTGTATGATGGCTGCTGCTTCCGCTTTGCATCATTCTCATCTTGGCCATTTTTATTTTTCATTGATCACAAAAGCTTTTATTTCTACTCTTTGAATGCTTTTTTTAAGAAGGAAGCAATTGATGAGATAAGTGAATTTCTTCTGAAACATTACTGCAGGCAATAAACTACAATAAACTGTGAATATACTTCTGGTCTTTTAAATGAGCATATCTCAATTTCTCGCATGTGCATCTAAAAAAACGTGCAGCACATTTTTGACTGAATGGATGTTTTGATAGAGACATTCATCTTCGATACTTGTGAACCTTATTAAACTCCCTGATATTCATAAATTCTTTAAAATGCTTAATAAATTTACCTATATTAGTTTTGATTGTTTGATATTTCAAATTCAAATGCTGGTTTCAAAACACAACAATTGGTCAAAGTGCGAATCAATAAGTGTCTTTTAAAAGTCACTGATAACGTCTGCTGCAATCATATCGTTGAAATGCGTTTTTTCCTTAAAGAATGTGTATCGATATCAGTGATCGCTTCTGTCTTTCCTACACTATTTCCTACTGTACAATCTTTAAAGATGGTCGAAGGGTTCCACCGCTGATAACCCGCTGCCCCATTCGTTCACGTGAATGGGCGGAGTCGTTGTGGGGCGGACGAATCTTTGAAGACCACCGTTCTATAAATAGGAAGCGGATTGGAGTAGTTTGAAACAAGCTTAACAAAACATGGTTTGCCAAACAACTTTTGACTACAACTTCTACAACAACAATAATGGCGAAGTGGCGAACGACACCCGCAAGAGGGTGACAATCGTTGGTGGAGGAAATTGGGGATCCGCGATTGCGTGCGTCATCGGAAAGACCGTCAAAGCTCAGCCTGACGACTTCTTTCCGATTGTTACCATGTGGTGCAGAGATTCAAGAGTAAGATATTCAAAAAATCGTCATCAAATGTATTATGTTTTTTTTTCAGAAACCAGGAGACACTTCTGAATCAGTCGCTGACACCATCAACAGAACGCATGAGAACGCGAAATATCTTCCAGGGCGCCGCATTCCCGATAACGTCATCGCCACGTCTAATCTTCTCGATGCCTGTTCGACCTCTCACATTCTCATTCTTGTTGTTCCACATCAAGGAATCGAGCAGATTTGCAATGAGCTGAATGGAAGACTTCTTCCTGACGCCGTCGCCGTGTCGTTGACGAAAGGAATCTCGTCGGAGAATAATAAGATGAAGCTGATCTCGCAGGATATCGAGGACTTCCTTGGTGTCGAATGCAATGTGTTGATGGGAGCCAATCTTGCCGGAGAGGTCGCTGACGAGAAATTTTGCGAGGCGACTCTTGGATGCCGCAGTGCCGAGAACACTGGAATCATTTTGAAGAAACTCTTCGATACTCCCAACTTTCGAGTTAGAGTTACTGATGATTTTGAGGCTGTGGAATTGTGCGGAGCGCTGAAGGTAACCCAGAAATCGATTGATTGAACTCAACCTATTATTGATTTTCTTAAAGAATATTGTCGCTTGCGCTGCCGGATTTGCTGACGGCCTCGGATGGGCCTACAACCTGAAATCCGCAATTATTCGCCTCGGTCTCATCGAAACCCGAGAATTTGTGAATACTTACTACCCATCGTCAAAAGGACACACTTATTTGGAATCGTGCGGAATCGCCGATCTAATCACTACTTGCTATGGGGGACGCAATCGACGAGTTGCTGAAGCATTCATCAAATCCGATAAGCCTTTGAAGGAAATCGAAATGGAGCTTTTGAAGGGACAAAGCGCGCAAGGACCACCGACAGCTCAAGACGTGTTCGAAATGAACGAAATCTACGGTTTTTCCGAAAAGTGAGTTTTCTTTCGTGGAAAAAGCGGGGCAAACGAATAATGAATAATTTTTCAGATTCCCGATCTTCACTTCTGTGCACAAAATCTTTGCCGGCGAGCAAACCCCGGACCATCTTTACAATTCGATTCGAAGACACTTCGCCTACGAATAATTGATTGTCTTCTCATATCATTATTAAAATTGATCTCATTTCTGACATGCATGGGTTTGACGTGTGAAAACTTGACTTTGTATTATATACAGTGAGCCCATATTCAATAAATTATTGAATCGAGAATTATTCGAAAAATGAGACAACAGGTATCCATATCAAATCTTTTCGCTAAAAATTCGAAAAGAATTACTAATTCAATATTTATTGCCATATAGGACATAACGAAAGACTCATTTGATGAAAGACAATTTGAAGAGACGATATGGGGGAAATGATAAGGGAAAAACAATTGAGCATATTCATTGCTAATTTGTTTTCATCGGGATAGAATTCTCTTTTTCTCTAAATAAATAATTCCTTTTTTTTAATAATTGAATAATTAATATTAATCTATATATATAATATACTGGATGGCAACAATTTCGAAGAAAATAGTGTGATATTGTTTTTTGAACAAATGTTTGGTCATTTCGTGCGAAGAGAGGATCGATATGGAGAATAAATAAGGGTAAGTAGTTAAAAATATGGAAAATTGCAGCGGAATTGGACTTTACAACTTGTTTTTGGCCAGTCGATGCCTTTTGCGTAGACAACACACGCCTTGCATGCATTGCGAATAGCCTGAACCGCAACCGCACGAGCCGCCGACTTGCTGGCACATTGTGATCGCCGGTGGCTGGATCATCTGGAATTGAGCCGTGCATGATGGCTGACACGATGGTTGGCATTGTGGAGCACATTGAAGGACTGGTTGAGCCTGGAAGTTTTATATGAAATCTAACAAAAAAAACATCGTTGAAGTATGCACAAAAGAACACACAACAGGTAGACATTTGAAATGTAAATTGAAATAAATACCCAATTGAACTATAATTTATTTTTAATATTTAAGCAATCTTACTTGGCACGCTTGTCCGCACATTGGGCTGGCTTGAACGACAATCACTTGCTGCTGTCCGCAGCTCTGCTGGCAGCTGTTCTGGCATGCCGATTGACACTGATTGTTTGATCCGCAGGTTTGCTGGAATCTCAAAAATAATTGGAGACTTGTCAACCGTCAACCTGGCACTGTGGCTCGCAAGTCTGAATGCACATCTGCTGCTGTTGAACGCACTGTGGAGTGCATTGTGGCTGGCACGCTGGAACGCATTGCTGTTGTGGTTGTTGCTGCTGGATGACAATCACCTGGATCCAAGTGATGTTATATGTTTAGTTTATTCGAAGTCTTACTGGCTGCGATTGAGTTTGCTGTCCACAAGATTGCTGGCAGCTTGGGACGCAGGTCTGAATGCACTGGTCATTTCCTCCGCACGAAGATTGGCAGGATGGCTGACAGGCCGACAAACAGATCGCTTGAGTCTGCACACATTGTGGAGTACACGCCGGCTGGCATGGAGCTGGACAGGCTGGCTGAGCATCCTGGACAACGATCACTTGCTGCTGCTGAACACAGGATTGCTCGCAGCTTGGCAAGCAGGACTGGACGCACTGGGCGTTGGAGCTGCACGAGCTCTGGCAGGACGGCTGACAGGCGGCCGAACAAATCACTTGCTGCTGAACGCACTGTGGCGTGCATTCCGGCTGGCAGACGGATGCGCACTGGTTCTGTTGGGGCTGCTGCTGGATGACAACAATTTGCTGGGCCTGCTGTTCGACACACTGGCTGGAGCACATTGGCTGACAAGCCGGAGCGCAAGCCTGTTGGACACACGATGGCTGGCAGGATGGCATACACGAGGAAACGCATTGCTGCTGTGGTTGCTGAACGACGACGATCTGCTGAGCCTGCTGCTCGACGCACTGCGATGAACACATTGGCTGACAGGCCGGGGCACACGCCTGCTGGATGCAAGACGGCTGGCAAGCTGGCATGCACGACGAAGCGCACTGTTGTTGCGGCTGTTGCTGCTGGACAACGATCACCTGTGGCTGCTGGTTGTTGCAGTTGCTTCCGCTGCATCCGTTTGTGCAGCTTGGAAGGCAAGCCGGCATGCACGAGGATTGGCATTGCTGCTGCTGTGGAGCCTGCACGACAATGATCTGTTGCTGTTGTTGTTCAACGCATTGACTGGAGCACATCGGCTGGCAAGCTGGGGCGCAAGCTTGCTGGATGCACGATGGCTGACAGGCTGGCATGCATTGCGAGGCGCATTGTTGTTGTGGCTGTTGTACAACAATGATTTGTTGTTGTTGCTGCTGAACACATTGTGGAGCGCACATCGGTTGACAGGCCGGGGCGCAAGACTGAACATTACCGAGGATTGTAATATTAACATCGGTTGGTTGGAATACCTGCTGGACACACGATGGCTGACAGGCGGGCATGCATTGAGGAGCGCATTGCTGTTGTTGTGGCTGTTGAACAACAATAATCTGAAAGCAAATTGCATTGAAGTTTCGGTGCCGCGAGAGATTGTCGAAGAACCTGTGGTTGCGAGTTTTGCTGTTGGCACTGGTTGCACGAGACCTGGTAGCTGAGGGCACCGCATCCACAAGATGAGTACTGAGCCTGAAGGGTCCCGCAATTGCACGATGGATTCGATGGAGCTGGACAACCGCATTGGGTGGCGAGCATATTGGCACAATCACATTGTTGTACCTGAAAAGGAATACAAATTCCGTTTTATTGGCGATGATCGAAAAAATACCTGAATCTGAAGAGCGGCACAATTGCACTGATTCTGAACTTGCGGAGCACAACACGAGTTCTGCGCGGCGAAACAACATTGGCGTTTGGCGCGACTCACCGCTAGCGACTCGTTGCGTTTCGCTGGTCCCTCCTGTAAAAATGTTAATAGTCAGCTGACAATTTTTGACAGTTTCATCTTTCGTCTTTCATTTGTTTACCGCCGCCGTATATGGAATGCATGCATCGCTAATCCGACAGCGGATTTGGAGCTCGGAAGCTAGGCAAATATTAAGAAATACACAATCAATGATGGATTTCATACGTAGTTTTTGTATGTTATGCTAGTCATAGTTAATTATGACCTTTTAATTAATTTTTTTTAAATTAAAAGCTCAAAGATTATAATAAGAATTTCTCCAATCATCCAAAAAAATAGAAAAAATCGACATCCCCTGAATGGATAGCTGTATTCAATAGGAATATTGCTGTGAATTCAATTTGTGAACTTTTGCAAATTTAATTTTTGAGCTTTGCTTTTGTGCAAATGCAACATTTTCCATTATGAACTGTGGCCATCATCTCAAAATCACGAAGCCGGCCATGGAACAAAAAGGGCCGGACAATGTATACAACACAACGAGTCGAAAGAGTAGAAGAAGAAGATGAAGAAGCATCTCCGTGAATGTACAAACACAATGTCAATGGGTGCGTTTTGAGTCGCTACAAACAATGATGGGAAGAAACTCTCACCTCATCGCCGATTGTCGTCGTTGATTCTGTTGTCGTTGTCGAAGCGCTAGTGGACGAGGCTTCTGTAGACGTCGATGGCGAGGCGCTCGTCGTCGTCGTTTCGTCGGCAAATGCCGAAATCACCAAAATTGTGAGCAACAACCAGCGTACCATTTAGGCTAAAACGATGCGAAACTCATGAAATTCACAACGAAGAAATTGAAATGAGGTCAGAAACACGCGCACATACAAAAAAAGAAGGTTGGAATGGTGGAGAACCCAAATTCAAATAAATAATGAGCAAGCAAGAAGCAAGCCAGTTTCGAAATGGAAATGGTCAACACAGTTGGGCGACTGTTTGACTTTTGGAGAGCCCCATGAGGCGCTCACACTTTCTCTCTCTCTCGTCGCTGCTCCGTTGACCAGCCGACTGGAGACCACGCCCGACTTGAGCACCAACTGTTGGCTGCTGCTGCTGCTGCTACAACTCCAAGTAGGAGCCTTCCCGCGCGCGCCACACCAGCTCTTTTTTCTTCCGCCGAGACGCGACCGCCGTTTGCCCGCCCTTGCCGCGCGCCACCGTCGCCGCTTCTAAAAATAGCGGTGATAATATGGGGCGCCGTCGTTGAGTAGATGATGACGGCATACAATGAAAAACATTTTGTGTTGGAAAGGATTCTTGCACGACACCGACCTGTTCCTGGAAGCAAAGAACCAATAGCATTTTTTTCTGGGGTGAATATAAGAAAGGGAAATCGAGAAACTGCTAAGATGCTCGAGCATGATCCTATAAGAAGAATGTGGATGTGAGGAATTCTTTTAAAAACTATGTATCATAAGAAAACACTTATCGAATGTAAAAAATCCATTATCTACTAAAAACTACTGAAAATTCGAATAGTAGTACTAAACGTTAGGCAACTAAAATTCTGATCTTATATGAATAACAAATTTTTTCAGACCCCTGTATATTCTTTAGCTTTCCAATTGGATGAGTACAATATTTTTGACTAAACAATCTTTGGACGAATGTGGGAATCGCGAAATTCCCGGATCCTTTAGTGCTCTCTTGTAATCCGCATTCTCGCCATTATTATCATCACCATCCTCACTACAATTCGTTGCTCTTCATTTTTGCATGCAAAGAGACAAAAGAACACGATGAAGAACTTATGTGTTCGAACACACATTTTCGCACGGAGACCCTTGCGCACCTCAACCCGCTCCGCATAATTCGTTTATCTCTCTCGTTTCAAGTGCGCCCTTGTGTTAAAGTGACCAAACGAGATTTTTGAAAAATTTGGACCGGCCATCGAGGGACAGAGAAACAAGATGGAAGCCCTTGAATATTTCGAGCTCGATTTGGTTTCGCAAACTTGCCCAACTTGGGTTTCGAAATCAACCGGTTTAAGGTTCACAAAAACCAATTGAGAAAATCAAATCAGTGGAAAGAATAAACACGAATGTTCTTGAAATTTTTTTTTAGTGTCTCTTTTGACTTTCAATATTTTTCGAGAAAGACAATCCTTCTATTCAATCGTAATAATTGATTCTAAAACAGAAGATAGCCTACATTTTTTTCGGATTCAAATTCGAACGTCAAAACCGTTTCGTATCGTCGGTTGCGCGTAGTTCGAAATTTGACATTCACGTCAGCAAATATTGCATAATCACATATAACGATTTATACCGCATAAGACAAACACTTGATTCGAATTCGGCGGCTTCTCTTTTTCTTTGAATCAGTAATGCAACAAGCTCGAAGCCATGTTCGCAGAAAAGAAACTTCGAAAAAAAACATGAAATTCAATGTTTTTTTTTGGAGAACATTGCCTTGTTTTGATAAAGATTCAGTTTTTTTGAAATTGCAAATCTAAATGATACATTTTGGGATTAGAAATACTGAAAATGTATGATTTTATTAATCTGACGGCCGAGAATCTCCGATTCCATTTCGTAATCTCAGCTGTTGCCAGTTTCAATTTCAAATTGAAAGAAACTGGGCGTGGCGTGCCAAAAATAGACCGTAAACCAATTAAGCGGTGCGAATAGCAAAAACGCAAACGAATTTGAAATTCGCTCGCATAATCCGTGCGAATCGTGAAAATTCAAAAACGCGCGAAACGTCTTTGGCCGAGGGCGAGCGCGCGACGCGCTCATCTCAAAAACAATGCTCCAGCTTCTGCAGAGGCACCAGTCGATGAGCTCGTGAGCGAGCACACACACACATACCTAAATGAGCAAAATGAGTTTGCATTTCAGCTCATCAAATGACAAACATTTCGGCCACGAATTCCAAGGAATATCTTTCTCATATTAATATCAACACCACGAGAGAGGTACAGGGGCTATTCGTCAAAAAATAAAAATGAAGCTACATATTCCAGTTGAATTAAAAATAAAATTATTATCTTAAACAGTAAAACAAAAAACAAGAGAATAAAAAGAATAAATCAAACGAAAATATAAGAAAGAACAGAGAAAAATTAATAATTTGATTGGATGAGATACTCAGTAAATAAGAAAAAAATGGTAATAGATTTTACAGTACGATCAATTTGGAATGGCTGTTAATTTTTTTGACAATAAATTTTGCATAATGTTCTTCGTCATTTTAGGTGCAAAAGACAATCAAACAACCGAACAATATTCAAAAATTGTTTTGATAAAAACTAAACTGCACACAAAAGGACAAAGTTAAGCCTATTATAGGAATACTTTCTGAAGGCACATAGTGAATTCCTAAAGCCTTCTATTTAACGCCAATCGAGTAATTATTGATGATCCATAGGGGTTCCTGATCCACCATCACCACCAGCAATCATGGGCGACGAAATGATTTGTGCAGATGCCTGCTGAGGAGGAATATGAGCCTGTTCAATCAGTTGTAGATGGACTTTTGGCTGCATCGGTGGGGGCTGTGCCATAAATGTTTGCTGCATCGGCATCATTGGAGCTGCAAACTTTCATCGTGAAGGTAAGAAATTAAATGTCAAATATTACGCATTCCCATTGGAGGAGGTTGTTGTTGAAGCATCGGTTGAAGCGGCGGCTGCATTGGCTGCTGCATCGGCCACATTACCGGCGGTTGTGCGATAGGTTGAGGAACCACCATTCTAAAAACATTTGGCTCCATTATGTTCATTCTTTCCTAGTTTATTTGTTTCAATTAAAAGAAAAAACTCACACTCTCGACGGCTCATTCACAAATCTCGTTCGAATTGCATTAGTGTCTGGAAGTTGAGCCAACAAGTTGTAGTGGAATTCGCGATGTTCCTCAATTCTGAAAAAAAAAGGTTTTAAAAATGTTCAGTGCGTTCAATCCTACGCTAAAACATCCATTCCGAGTTCCTCGAGAAAATCCATTTTTCGTTGGCTGAATCGAATTTTATCCTCAGGCGGAAGACTGCTAACCAAAGCGAAATCAAAAGCATCGATAACCTCGGACTGTAAAAATAATTTGAAAAACGAAAAAAAATCGAAATAACCTCTTTCATGTCGGGATTGCTATAGGCGATATCCACTAATTGAGTGTACAATTGCAAGTTTCCCTTATCAGTTTCAAGTGCCTTTTTGATAACCTTTTGCGCAAGTTTCGAATCTTTTCGGATTTTCTGATGGAACCTCGCCAATTTCAACGAGTAGAATGACATCAGGTTGGGCGAGTTTTCTGATCGTGTAATTAGCTTCTCCAAAGTGCTCACAACTTTTGAAAACGACATCGAACTGTATAATAAAAAAATAGCAGAAAGTTGCAAAAACAAAACGAAATACCCTTCTTTTTCGCATTGCCGTCTGAGAATACCAACATAACGCATTTCAAGATTAACATATCCTGGATAATCGCGGCGGAATCGTTCAAGAATGTCAGCAGCACATTCAAAGTCGTCTATAAGTATCGAACATAAAAATTTTCGAGACATTACGTAATTTACCAATAGATTCCTCAAACCCAGAATGCGCTAGTGTTATATTTAATGAGTTCGGAATGTGCACTTTTGCGCGTTTGAAAATATCACGAATCGTAGATTCCGACTTATTTTCCTTCCACGCCCATCGAGCATACTTTATCCAAAATTCTTCATAAAGAGCACAAGCAATCAGGCATCTCTCGAATAAAATTTCAATTCTTTCAGGATCTCCTTGCTAAAATTGAAATATTGAATGTATTCACTAATAATTTAAAAAATTACCTGAATTTCAAAGTCCAAATAAGTTAACCAATTGAACAATTGAACATTATCCAAAGGTTTAACATGGAAATAAGGTCGTTTAATATTGGCTTCAAATAACGCTCGCATTTCGCACTGCCTCAAATTGCGGTCGAATATTTTTCGACGACGTGCAGCAATTTCATTGCGCATAACACGAAGGACATCTTCATTAAACTAAAAACGAAAAGTTAGATACATCTATGTCATTTCAAAAAAGCCGAACCTCAAGACGGCGAACCGTAACCTTAAAAGTTCCTTCCTCCTCAACCGCCGAAACCGTCAAAGTCTTGTTATCGGCCATTGGTTTGACAATATACACTTGGTCAACTTCATGATAGACTTCGTCGTCAATCTAAAAAATACAAAATTACCATGAATAGATAATTAATTATAAGGTATCATTCGACAGAAAATTGCAATAACTCACTCCTTTGTTCAAATCTCTTTTAGCAATTCTCAAAACATCTTCATATTCTTCCTCAGATAGCAACAAGTTGGGTTGTATTGTGTTGATGTATGCCACGTATCTGTACAAAAATTTTTATTATTGTTAAAGCTTCGAAAATACCTGTCAAAATGGGTAGCAGCATGAAGAGTCGGTGTGCCCAACAATCGATCAAACAATTCTCCAATACGCCGACAATTTGCGTCTTCATTTTGGCTGCACATCTCATGAATATATTGAATCTGTTCAAAACCAATCGCGTCGAGCCATAGACGATCACTTTGATATTCCAATCCCGCAATTTCCAGGGCTCTTTTGTAAAGTCTAAAGCGATGAAATATTAGTCCTATCATTCTGGTATTTAATTACTCTCGAATTGAATCAACAGGAAAACCAGGAACCGATCTCATCTGCCCAATATAGCCAAGCCACAAGTCAATCGACAACGGCACCGCAAGAATTCCTCGTTCCCAAACTTTCTTCGATTCTTCTAGCGTATTGTATTTCTTCTGATATTCAGCGTATTTCGTCCAGAATCCATAACAATACGGGTAACGCTTCAGAAACTCGGCATACTTCTCACTGGTATATTCGACATCGTCCTAAACATTGGCTATTAAAATACGTATTAAAAAATAATCTTACATTTTGATCACATTTATTCAAAATTTGAACCCAATTGTCAAAATCTTGCGGATCAATCGCCGGTGGTCCGATGTGCGCCGCAATTGTCGGCCGAATCGGCTTGTTGCGTCTCGAATCAGTGCTCCTTCGGCCTCCATCTCGACTATCGTCTCGTCGTCGAGTCGATCCACGTTTATGAGGAGAATTAGATCGAGATCGACTGAAATGAATTAAAATCGATTAAAAGAACTCTCGATATTGAATGAAATGAAATAAGAAGCCAAAAGACGCACACAAATTGAACGAATTTGCCTACCTGATTCCCGGGGGACCACAGTCAATGTACTTTTCTTTATTACATTACCCCATACATATAGGAAAAAAATACAAAATGAAGAAAAATGAAAAGAAAGAAAACACGAAATTATCATTATGTCAATGTCCGCTTAAAACCTCTGAAGGTGTGTGTTGAACGAAACGCATACCTTTTCTGTAAATACGAAACCGTTTTCCACACTTTTTTTCCGCAAAATACAAGTTTTTTAACCCATTTATTTTGTTCTCACGTGCAATCAAATGTGATTATCTTACCTTCGTCGTCTCCTGTCACGATCGCGATCCCTGTACTTATCATCTCGATATCTTCGGTCAGATCTGTAAAAAAATGAACATGCGAATATGAAAATAAAAAATAGAAATACCTTTCTCTTTCTCTATCATCATCAGAACTTGAACGGCTGCGACTTCTCGATCTTCCCATCTAAACATATTAATTAAAAAATCAACTATCAAAAAAATATAGATATCAAATTGTTAAAAAACAATTGTATCATATAAAAATAAAAATATTTGTTTATAAAAAATTGAAATTTTTATTAATTACACAAGGAAATAACAATAAAAACGTTTTGACAACCAACGTGCGTTCTCAAACATTTCAACACAAAAAAAACGTTTTTCTCACTACTTGAGCAATGAAATATGGGAAAATCTATAAGAAAATCTACTAAAAAAAGGCAACTTCATTTCGTTCAATGCACTATTCCGTTTCCATTTGCAACAATATTTGGCTCCTCATAAATTTTGTACGAGCGACGGTGAAACTCATCAATTTTTTCAAGATAAAATGTTCCCGGGAATGGTGTCAGCTCATTGTCCAATTTTGGCAATGACTCAGGTACTGCAGGTGCTGAACCATACAAAAATTAAGTGAGAATCGTTTTTTTTTTTAATATTCAAACCTTGTGCAACCAGAAATCGTTCACGCATATTTAAAACTTTGGTGAATTCTTCAGGAGTGAATTGCTTTCTGGCATCCAAACGTCTTATTGCAGATTTGGCTGACTAAAAAAACATACATATTAGATCGTCATTTCTGTCAAATTTTGAAGAAATGCTCTAAAATAAAGTTCACGTTTCAATTTATCAACTATTTAATTTTAAACAGAATTTCTAACCTGTCGAATTTTTTCCAACCTTTCTGTCTGTCTCAAACGTGCCGGAAACACAGCGGAAGCTAATCCACTTCCATAAGCGAAGAACAACAAATGCTTCTCATTTGGTTCTTGCACACTGAAAAAATGTAAAACAATTCCAAGTGATCTGATTTTAGATAAATTATTACCAATTGTCTGATGCCAAATAAGCAAGAAGTTGGGCGAACAGGGATGGAGTGTACATGTTTCCAATTCTTCTGTTAAAAGTTAAATACGGATCTGTCTTCTTTTTCCAGACTTCTGACGACATTTCGATCATTTTCGCCATCGCTGCCCGATCATTCTCGTCCAGAGCTTTATCTCCATTTCTATAAATCCAATGTTTATAGTTTAATCGTATTATCAACGACGTGCGTCTGCAGAAAATTGGCTAATTGCCAAAAAAAGAGGTCACGGGCGCGCCTTTCACCTATCCTTATACTTTGGCTCGTAAATCTACACTTTGCTCCAAGAACACTGCCATTGTTTTTGGCATTTAGCGAATTTTTTCGATGCTGACAATAAAATATATACATATAAATACTTACTGTAGTTTATCAGATGACAAGTCACTGTAGTGCATAACGGCAAGACCTTTTTGCACAATTTTCGTGAATGGAGAATGAAAAAAGACAGCGTCAAACTCTTCCAAAGTAACTTCTATACGAAAAAAAAATAGTTGAAAATCCACTGAAAATTCTTACCTGTTCCTAGAACACGAGAAGCCTTCTTTTTGAAGTTTCCGTATGCGGTTTTAACCGCTCCCAAGTAGGAAGCCAACGACAGTGAACCATCAACTGTGGGGTATTCGGTAATCTTTGAGGCTAAAACCACAAATGCTTATACAAAAATGATTGATGTCCTACTAATTGGCTTATAGAAATCCCAGCTGTTTCGCATGAAGCATGTTGCTAGCACACGGTCAATGGGAATTGTTGCATTCGGTCTTATGAGAAATGCAATAGCTCCAGCTCCTAAACTTTAAATAAATACAAAAATAGACGATTGCCACCAACAAATACCTCCTGTACATCGAGCAGGTCCATCCTCGTAAATGGCGATATCGGCAACCACCACGATAGCATCACGATTTTCGACTTGATGATTTACATGAACCCAATCAACGGCATGAAGAAGAGCCTGAAAACATTTTTTACGAATCATTTTTAAATTTTGATAATAGGTACCTGAGCGCCACCAAAACACGCATTTTTTATATCAACACCTTCAATATCACTGCAATCGTCAAACAAATCCATTAATGCTGTTTTAACGCTCTTGCTCTTATCAATGAGCGTTTCTGTACCGACAACAAGGCAACCAATGGAATTTGGAAGAACCTAAATTACATAATTAATAAAAAACATATTATAAAATTAATTACTTTATAGGTGTCCATTAACTTCTTGGTAACCGTTAAGGAGATGGACACGATATCCTCATTATCGGCACAAAATCCCATTTCTTGTTGGCCCAGACCTATTGTATATTTACCACTAGAGATATTGTTGTACTAAATACATTATTTTATAACCGATTGAGATAGATAATGTACCGACTTACATGTTCAAGATCAGTTTGAGAAACATAATTACGTGGAAAGTAAAATTCGATTCCATCGATTCCAATGTTTGATATGTTTCCTCCACCCGGTAATTCCATATCTAAAAAGCAAAAAAAAAAATAAATTTTTATATACGTTTATTAACAAAAAAGAATTATAAAAGAATAATTGTTTATAAAGGTGTATACGAAAAAATTATGAAAGCGAATTGTATGGCGTCATTTGGTCCAATGAACGCAAGTGCGCTCTAATGAATAACTGCACTAAAATTATAGAAAATTCAGTCTTTAATTCGATAAAGATTTGGATAAAAGCTTGCACTAAAACGAATAATACAAAAAAAATAGAAATTTGAAAACCGGCAAATTAAAGCGACGTCTATTCCGGCTCTTCGCCGCGAGACGCGCAACAATTTTTCGTGTAGTCCACACGGACAAGTTTAAACTATTTTCACTATTATTAACTTTTCCTATTTTTCTTGATTATATGCTTAAATTCGAAAAAAGAATGAAACGAAAAATTATGAGATCGGCATTAAAAGTACCATTCTTTTCCACCGATTTTCCATTTATACGCGCATTTTTTAAAATTAAAAATTTTCAGGTCGAAAATGTTCAAAACGCTTAAAGGTCATGAAGATCTTCAGGATGGTATTATTGTTGTTAGTGAATCGAAAAATGCATCTGCTCTTCCATTCATCATTCATTATCTTGGGGTTGGTGTTGAATTAAACAAGAAAACAGTGATTGTCACCAGCAAACTTTCAGAATTGAACTACAGGTTCCCTGTTTTGCAGCTCGTTGTATTTATTTTCAAATATTTCGGTATTTTAGGCTAATTTGTTCAAAAGCAGGAGTTCGATGGAATGCAAATCAAACGATTGTGGTGCAAATGATAGAGCCTTCATATTCGTTTGATATTGATGTTTCCACAATTCTCAACGACCTTAGCAAAGTTACAAAAAATGACTATATTAAATTAATCAAAACAGTTCAGAAAATATTGGTGCAAGACCCGGATATGGTAGTCTTCGACGATTTGTCTTCCATAGATAACCTCGGGGCAAAATCTGCCACAATTATTGAATTTGTACATAAGGTCTATTCGGAATTGGTAAGTTTCATTTTTTGTGTTTCATTTCAACAAAAATTTAAGAAAAAGAAACACGAATCTGTGACGATATTGTCTGCAATATCATCTGCGTCAGATGCTGTGGAATTCTTGAAATCACGATGTCACACCCATATCGAACTCATACCAGTTGGGCACGGATTCGGAAAAGACGCAAATTCAAAGGTAGCCACTGCTTGAGTCAACCAATTCAGACGTTTTCCATTTTAGGCAATAATTTCTTCGAAAAAACCCAGTTGCACGCACTCAATTCGGCAAATGCTAATATCCGGCGAGCGAATAAACAACGCAGTTTGGATTGCATCCCAAAAATGAATCTTTTATTATTTTAATAACAAATTTTGACTAGCAAATTCACACATAAATACACTCAAAAAACCAGGCAAATAAAAAAAAATACCGCGTAATAAAGCCTGACGATTCACAAAATTTGTTTCAAAATTAACAACGTGCAGCAACAAAAATTTTTTGAACGTATTTTAACTAATTACATATGTTTTTGAAGTTCATTATAAATTGCTAAAACAAGCGCAGCTCCGGTGCCTCGGATTGCGTTCACAAGTGCTCCATGGAAAAATGCCTTCGCTCCTTCATTCACGTATATATACTAAAAATTGTATTGTTGCTCAATTTTGACGAATCCCAAACCTTAATACATGATATTGTTGAATTGAACGGCATGCTCTTTTTTCCAGCTCCCATCATCAAACGTCTTCTTACTGTATCAAGTGGATACGAAGTCATAGCAGCAATTAGAGTGACAACCTCAAAGCAGTAATATTGAGAAAAACATTTTCGAAAAAAAAATATGGTTGAATATGTATTACGAAAAGTTTTTGACAAACCTGTCCGACTAGAAACGCCCTTGTAAATGATAGGTTTTTTCCATCCATGGCGACATACGGTGCTGCAGTGTCGAATAATCCATAATAGCATCCTCGATATATCATCATATACTGAAGGGAAGGTATTAAGCCTCTAAAACAAAACTTTCTATGATAAAGCTACCGAAAAAGTTACGTACTTATACAATCCACGGAATCCATCATGTCGGTGAGTTTTCCTTGCACAATCTATCATTCCAGTGAATTCTCGATTCTACAATAAAAATCGTTCGAATTAAATGAACAAATTGAAAATTGCTAACCTCTTTACTCCTTCCTAAATCTACTGCTAATCGAGTTCTGATAAAATCAAGTGGATAAATTGTCGCGAGAGTCGCACAACCTGCTCCAGCTCCAGCCATTAGATTACCTAAATTCAAAACATTCTGAATGATGCAATTTGGTATAGAATTTGTTGAGTGACAAAAGTCACATACCTATTAAGAAGCGAAATCTTCTATCCGAATAGTCGGTATCACCAACACTGTATTTCTTGAAAAATTCTTTAAAGGCGAGACCGAGAGATTCCTGAAATCAATAATTTGCTTCATCATTCACTAGTGAAACCTTACTTGACTGCAAGATCTTAGGATATTCACCCAGTTTCCTCTCCAAAATGAGAAGAATCCCTGCTCTCTTGGGACTCGCACAAAACAATCGATCATGCCTTTATACCGTTTTTCAACAGCGAGTGTTGATTGTGAATTTTGAAGCTAAAAAGTACAAAATGTATCAACATTTGATAGCCTTTTGAACATACTTGAAGGATGAGTTTGACTCGCTCGATAGGAGCAATGACTGTTTTGGATATCGTCGCTGCCACAGCTCCTGCCATGCCATCTTTAGTAAACTTGAGCACATCGTTTTTCGATATCCCTGTAATCAATACAAATTAAACATCGCGAAGATTTTCAAAAACCTGGCACCATTGTATACGTCGTCATGATGAGCTAACTAACTGAAAAAAGGAGAAGCTTTTCGAGGATAATTGGCAAGCGAAAAAGTGCAAAATATTGTGGATGAACCTTGAGGGACGAGTTTTTGTTATCAAAACACGTCCATCTCATGAAAAGGCTTTGCGTATCGCATCACTCTAAAGATAAATGAAGAGAGTAAAAAAAAACAATAAGACAATGCAAATTTTCTCAATTTTTTCAATTAAAAAAAATTTCTAGACTGCCCCCATGAAGAAATTCATTAAAGAATTTAACATATTTAAATTTCTTTATTTGTCTCGTTTTTTGTCTAAAAATTAATACTCATATGGAATATTAATAAAAATCCAAATAATTTTCTCAATTTATGCATTTATAAAATATGACACATAAAACCTCGGTGAAGTATATCAAACATCAATGAGCCGAAATTTTCTTCGGCAACGTATTGAATGGCGAAACGAGAAGAAAGCACGTGGTTTTTTTTTTGAAGGAAAAAAACAAACATTAATTTTGAGGCGAAAATGAGATAATAATGTGAAATTTACGATTTTGGTTCAAGTAAATTTGATATAATGTTGCTAACAAAATGTTTATTAAAATGTATTGTTAAAATAATTTTTTAATAAAAAATGGGCTGGTATAAATGAATGAGGAAAAAAAGTATTCGGCAAACTCTTCGGGCGAAACAGCGGCAAATTTTGGAAGAAACAGTGGTGAATAAATAAAACAATTTTGCTTTTTCTTCGAAACAGTACGTGTTTCGCCTGATGAGTTTGCCGAGTATAAATATGTGAAAATTTTTTTTTTGAAAAATTAAGATTTTGCTAATTTTTACTAAAGTAAACACTTTATTTACAGTAACGCACTTTAAAGGAACACACAATATTTAGCACACGGTTTCAGAACGAATGAACTGTGCTTTGTTTCGATGATTTTATTTTGCGAATTTTATTCCTATTTTATGAGAAAATTGTGAAGAATGAAATCCGTACATACATATTGTATTGTATTCTTTGTTAAACAGTGCGGTTCCCCTTTTTTGCCCTTTTTAGCATAAAAATGTAACAAATGACGTTATTTTCAAATGATATAAAAATAATTAATAACTTGTAAAAATCGAAAGATTCTTTATCGAACCATCAACCAGTAAATGCTCGAAAAAATCGCGATAAGACTTCACAATCACATCAAAGTACACAACGCGGAAATGAACAATGATTGTTCACGACTATTGGCGGAGTGTGGGAATTTTATTGAGACACGTGGAATTCAAGTTTTCGAATCAAATTAATTAATTAATAGTAATTGGAAAATTATACGGAAACGAAATAAAGCGAGGACACTTGACGAACTACCCATTCCGATTTTATTTTGCGAAGGTGGATACAATTTATGGGATGCACGCCTTCTTGCATTTTTATCATCGTCGAATGTCATCATTTTTGCTTATAAAGCTGTAATATATATTTTCTTTTGTCATTATTTCTTTCCAAATATGTTCAGACGATCGTTGAAACGTCATTGAAGCAACGGTATATCGCGAACGAAATTTGCTTGATAAAACGTGGTTTGTTCTTTGAAACGACTTCACCGTCTTTACGATTTCGGATCATCGAACAATTTTTGGTTTTTAGAAAGTTTAATTCTTCATGTTTTAATGACAATTTTGGGGTCTTATTTCTTTGAATTTTTATTGCATCTTTTTTTCAAATTATTTCAAATTTTAAAAAGTTATAAATCAGCTTTTCCTGCCAAATTTTTATCTTGATAATAAAATTGTAATGTCCTTCAATTAGTCTAGCAATAGCGAAAAGTCAGGAAATTGAAGAAACAATAATCATTAATTTAAATTGAAGACGAAAATAGCGTTTATGAAATGTTACATTAAAATTAGGAAAATTATTTAGCTAATTCAGAAATGGTTTCGCGGATTATTTTGTCTGTGTCGTGTGACAACGGAGAATTAATTTAACAAAGATCTTAATTTTTTTTTAAATAAATGAGTTATCGGTGCTGCGGACATGTTCATGGGGGACAACATCTAAACAAGTTGCCAATGTGAACAAAAAGGTTTGACGCTTCAAATTTTTCGGCAATTGTCTTGTTAACCATCTGCCTCGTTCGCTCGCGAAGCCAGCCAGACGGTCGCCAAAAAATCGAAAAAAGAAGACGATCACTCTCGATAATGCTGGTTCACAGCTTATCCATGGCCAGTGTAGAAATGCCCACTGTTTAAATTGAAAATTGTAATACCAAAAAGAGTGTAATGGTTCTTTTTAGTCATAATGTGAATAATTTCATGATAGCAGATGTATGGGAATTTTCAGCTCAAAACCTAACTCCGCTTTATTCGAATTTCTGAGAAGATTTTCGATTATCAAATTTATATTTAAATGAGTGAAGGCTGATTTAAATACCTTAATACGCCAGTAGCTAATAACTTCGGGATTTTCGTTATAAAATCGAACCGATAATTTCAGAAATTCGAGGAAAATGCCTTGGTCCAATGTTCTCTGAAATTTCAACAAAATTTTTGTTTTTTTTTCAGGAATATTTTTTGAGCGCCCCCGTCGATTCGTCAAAAATGTCGGAATAAAGAAGAACGCTGATAAATATTTATACGCAAGAGATATTCTCACGAAATTTCGTGTAACAACACAATTCCGCGCTTGGTTCGTCGATGTACATAAATAAATAAATATATCAGAGAATTGTTCTTCTCCGGCTTCTCCCGCTCGGCCGAATCCATGCAACACAATATGCGGAGCACCGCCAATGAGAAATATGTCGAAAAAATCGGCTATGCGCACAACATTTGTGTTTACTTTAGGATTGTCAATCGATCGAACCAATATATTTATATATTGGTAAAGCTCTCCATTCCCCGAAAAAAAACGCAGTTTTCATTTTGCGTAGTAGCACCTCCCAGTGTTTCTCTTCGATACCATCCATAACAAAACCTTGAACCGCTTTGTCAGAGGAAAAACCAGACAGTTAAACCTTAGCATTTCAAAAACCATTAATAAAAAACAATTGCGTTGATTTATTTATTTAAGGAACGATGTGGTCAGTGAAAAAAGATTGATGTCTTTGCTCCTTTAAATGAGGTATTATTCCGATCTTTATGTTTTTCAATCATTTTTCAATAAATTGATACTCAGTTTATTATATTTTTTAGTCGGTAAAATTAAATTGTGTTGCAATTTTCATCAAAAAGTCGATAGTATAAATTTTCAGTTCTCTTTTCAATTTTTAATTTGGATTTTATATCACTTGGTCTCGAAATCTTTTGAATCTTTATTCAAAGATTTCATAAGCTTTTCGTTGGAAGTGCCTGAAAATGGCTTCTTTGGCACAATCACACAGAATATTGAAGTATTCATTTTCCATCCTTCTCCATTGTGTATTTTTCAACAAAAAAGCTCATTTGTCGCAAAAAAAACGAGGACAATTATTCACTTCATTTTTGTTGGTTTTCAATTTTTCCGCTCATTCTTCCTTCATTTTCTTAGTCTTCGTTTGTCGTTGAGAATTTTTAATCCCTTTTCATCACCTCTTTCCATCATTTTTTTGGGCAGCTTCTTCTACTTCTGCACAAAATTGTGCAAAAAAATTCAAATTCAATAAAACATCGTCAAAGTGCCTCCTCTTTTACTTCGTCTTTTTTTTCGAAAAAAGGCGTGTTTCACATTTCAGAATATTCAAAACAAATTTGGGAATCCACTAATTTCTTGTGCAAACGAATGAAAAGCACGAGAAGACACAGAAATTCGATATTTTCAAAAAACTCTTATTTCGCCTTCTTCTTTTTTTGCTCTTTGTTCCAAAATTGAATAAATTGATTTTTCTGACACTAAAAACTTCTCATTTCTATTTTTCAATAGAGTTTTTTTTCTCAAATTTCTCATTTCTTGTGTTCATTGTTTTCTACATTCCAATTTCTTCTGGTGAGGATCGGGTAATTTTCTCCAAATTTAAAATAAAATTCGTCCATTGGGAACGTTCTCAAAAAATGATTACTGTAGACGCTTAAAGGCACAAGCTCTTAAATTAACTGCGACTATTTATTATAATTAAAGGGTTTAGTTGATTTTTGAGGTTTTCTGTTGGCTAATGACCTGTTCCCATATTTGTGACAAAATATGAGCAGAAACTTCTGCGTAGCTAAAAAAACGAGATTTTCCCGAAAATCTCGAAGCGCATGATGTAGTCTTGAACGCATCATTTCAACAGTTCTGGAGAAAAATTGAAAGACGTCGAGCCTTAATTTCTTCCTTGCTCTTAACCACTCCACCAGAAAATCAAAAATGCCAAAATTGAAATATGCATGGGCTCATCAATTTTCGTTATTCTGAACAATATTGCTGAAACAAATAAATCCATGAATTGACATCTCGTGACATTTTGATTCCTTCAACCCCGATTTTTCCGAATCAAGCTTGTCAATTCTGCGCCCAGTTGGCTAATTTTTGAGATTCCCGCCTCCCGTTGTAAACAACGTAGTGAGTAGCCGATTGGTCGACTTATTTTTTTTTGGAAATTAAAAAAGAAGCCGGCTTTCAACCTGCTCGGCCCCGGATTTGACAAGCCCTCTTTGAATTATTCCACATTTCTGCTAATTCCCTTAATCATCATATTCTAGCTATTTGAGTTACTCATCATATCCAAATTAGGCTAATTTGCATGTGGATATTCTTGAGAACTTGTGATTGCCATTTTGTGTTCATTCTCAAGGGATTCATGCATTATTCCTCACTTACACTTTTCTTTGTTTTTTTTTTACTTCATCTTCTTCTTCGTCTTTGAGTTTCGTGCGTAACTACTCAATTAAAAAAAATAAATGTCAAACTCTTTACCGATTTCGGCGGCACAATTTTCGAATTGCGTGTTGAAATTCCGGAAGATTGGCAAAATTGAGTTTGTGTGCATTAGTGCGTAAGTGTAGCCTATTCTGTTATACGTTTTCGCTTCGCCACGATATGTTATGAATCAGCTGCGGACAATTCAGCTATAAATGATGGCGAGCTTTTAAAATTATTTGATCTACCAACATGCAACAGCAAAGCTCTTTAACAAAAAGATATTTCTCCAAAATGCTTGTACCAAAAAAAAAATTTTCGCACCTCAACCCTTTCCAAGAATCATAGCTTCAGAATTCATTGAATAATAATAAATCTTCTTGATTTCAATTTATCTAAATCCTAGCGTTTGAATTATGGGATTGACTAGATTTTTGAAGAAATCGCTTCAAAAAGGTTGAGCCAATTTCAGAATTTCTTAAGAGACATGAATGTCTCCCAATTAATTTCTAGAATTTTCAGTGTTGCAAAATTAATTTAGAATAAAATTTGCGTTGTATTGCATTGACAAAAATGTTTCAACTCGAATAGTGTTCACCTCAATGTTGCCTTCAGCTCTTCTCACCCCCATCTACTTTGCTCCGCTTCTCGTTTCGCCGTTTTTTTTTCGCGTGCGTTTGCTCATTTTTCACACCCCCTTTATGCGCCCATAATAATTGTCGGTTGTAGGGGGCCGTCGACGTGCGCGCCTCGCTCGACCGGTATGAACAGCCAACTAGTTAGCCGATTAGCATTGCTCATATTATTCCGATTTTTGCACTTGCTCGTCCTGTTCGAATCCGACGTCTTCGCGCTCATCACGCGCTATTTCGATTCGCGAAAAGACGAAGACGTCGAGGTGTTCAATATTTTGGCAAGGTTTCCAATTGCCTTGTATGCACATGAAGACGGCGTTTATTTAGGTATCGATTCGACGAAACCGATGCAACAAGGGAAAGCGACTTCATCATTTTTCATGAGCGAACAACGACATTTGATGAGATTTGCGAAGAAGGGTTCGTTTTTTTTTTTTGGGCTGAAATCCAAATTTAATAATAGGGGGATCAAAGATATAAATAAAAAATTGACGTTTTTCTATTAATAGTCTCTTCTTAAGGCGTTGATTAATTAGCGGCTAATTAAAAAAAAGTCAAATATTCATACTACTCTATTTGTTATTCAAAGCAACACAAACACCCAAATTTTGATGAATTATAACATGTACTAGCGGAAACCGATTGTTGGTCCGTTTTGATCTCTATATCCGGTAGTTTCGAAAAAAAATGTCGGGGTAATTACCGGTCACCACAATCGGCAAATGGCGACTTTGTGGATTTCTAATATTTGTTGATTTTAGACTTTCACAAATAATTCCTTTTTTTTTAAATTCTACATAGCAAAAAATAACAATTAATTATTTTGCAAACTATTTCAATTAGTCTGTTTCAGATGAATGCCTTATGATTTCAATGTTTCAGATGGCACATTTATAGCATCAACGAGCGCTACGTCTATTTTGTGCAAATCGAGTCCGTCGATTTCGAAACAAATGTTTCAGTCGAAAAATGCTCGAAACTATCGCGAAAACTGTTTGAGTACGCCGACAAAATCGCGCGAATCGATGTTGAAAAATTCGAAAAATTCGCCAAGAAATGCCCACCATTCATGTGTGAGTTTCTCGAAAAATCGACTGACACCCAAGCAGTCAAATGTTGAACTTTGTTCGTAAATACGTGAATTGTTGCCACTCAACAGACATTTTTTTTTGCTTAGGCACCGCCTCAAGTGCACCCACTCAAATTCGCTGATATCTTTGAATGTTTCCTCCGATCGAATTCAAAAAATGAAATGAGGAAGAAAGAAAAAAAGTTTCAGGTCACGTCGTCATGCTCCATTCAGCTCCATGCGGTGGTGGTACGGTAGCTGCCAAATTATTGCAAGCATGTGATGCTTCTAAATTATCATTACTGGTCATTGGTAATTAAATATATGGAAGATTGAAGCGATGAGATTTTTATGAGATTCCAGGAGAACCCCCATTCCTTACGTCCCTCAGCGTGCTTTCAACTTCATTATCAATTGAGGTGATGAGAGGCTTGTGCAAAGCATCGCTTCGTTATTCCCTCATTCATCAAAAGCCAAATCAAACCATAGTGCTCAAAGCAAGGTTCGATTTGCCCTAAATTTCAGAAATCAAAAAGTATTTGCAGACCTTGCTGTACCAAAATTGTTCCATATATTCATGCAGAATGCGCATCGATTCAACATTTTTTCATAGGAAACCGAAATTACCTCGATGTGATTTCGCGGCTGGTCACCTACACTTCCACACAGATTCCTGTGTTCTCATTGGTTCATATTTTCCAATTTATCAAGTCTTATATTAATATTGTTCAGCTCTGCTGGCTACTTGGTCATTCCAAGTACCTGGTTGACGCAATAAGTTCATGGAGGTTGATGGAAGAAGAGCTGATAACCAAGGTTGGTCCGAAGACTGACGTAGAATTTGCTGTGGGACAAGTTTACGGTAGTCTAATTAACTATCAGAGAAATGTGAACTATTTTGCGCTGGATACGGTATTCATCAATGATTTGGTAATTTTTTAAAAATCACGCTTTGAAGCTAAAAAGAATTGCAATTGAAGATCACCGACACCGCCAGTCAAATTCGTCCAATTCTGAATCTGTGCGCAGTTTCGGATCTAGCGATTCCGGAATGCATCGAATGGAAACGAAGCGCTGAAGAGGTCCTTAAAAACGTGTGGGACACTGTCGAATTACCGAAAGAGGATGTGCGACGAGTGCACGAAATTGTAGAGCTCATAGAGCAGAATTGAACAAATCTAACCACGTTATCTGTTTGTTTCACGTTCAACCAATTACCGGTCTCCATATACCTATCTATTCAGTTGTTTGTTCAGTTTCAACGCCTAAATAATCCATCATAAAACCCTATCAATTCGTGTGTTTTTGAGAAGAAGGATTTTTCAAATTGATCACAAAGTGCGAAATGAAAATTGAACACGAGTTAAAGATTAATAGAAAGGCTACGTGATGTTCTTATTAAACAAAAAACAACAATTCATACTGTTGGATTCAACTAGAAAATAACATCATACTTGAGTTTTCAATTCACTCAAAAATAAATTTGATGAATGACTTGTGAGAAAAAGAAAAATATGCTATAAAATCCTTTATACCAAATATTCTATAGTGCTGATTTCTGATAAATAAGAAACTCAAAAATTTAGTCAAATCTTTTTTTAGAGTTTTAAAGTGATGCTTTATCGTTATTTATCAAATTTCTTAAATTTAAATAATTATACAATCGATCTCAAATAAGAATCGAATATACAATTAATTTCGAGTAGCAACGTTCAGCATCACGTGTAGTTTTAATTAAACAAATAGAAAAAAGTTAGATGTCAGATAAAAATTGTTGATGCTATAAATATGCATTCTATATTAGGTTGAAACATTTTTAGAAACATTTTGCTATTTTATCTTTAGAATGTGTGCATATTTGCGTCAGCCTACTTACAGACAAACAATATGTAATCAAGCTCAGTTTTTCTTTGTCCCTTCTTTTGAAGTTTTAGCATTTTATAGCATCTAAATGCCGGCTGGTATTTTCCAAATCAAAATCCTTTTGAATGGCTTCTTGCACTTTAATAACAGCAATTTTGTGGTTTGTGTTTCGCTGCTTTTCGTTCAAACCCATCCAGTTTCCAAAATGCGCTCAGCGATGCTGCAGACATTGCGATTCGATTTGATCGAATTACGCAAAAGGCACATTACAAGGTCAAACAACTTTAAAAATGGATCAATTGTTATCAGACAATAATCGACTGGATTCAATACAGTGAAAGTCCAAACCAATCATTTCTGGCCAAAGACTATCAGCAAGGCCTACCGTACTCAATAATACATATGTAGATGTCTCGTTGAAAACGTGATTCTCTCACTTCTTTCTTTCTTTTGATTTTGCTGAGACCAATGCGACAATGCTGGGTTTATTCATTTTGTACATTCATTACAAATCTCATCTGTCAATTTTTTTTCGTCGACTAGTGTCTTCCGGTCAAATCAACACCACGTAGTGTATTTTCTACTTCTGGATTGATTCGCGTTTCTCCATTCTATTTCCTTTTCCGCCATCTTGTCGCCACCTATGAGAGATTGAATAATATTGATGATGGGTTGAAAAAGATGCGAGAACAAGAAGACGTTAGAGAAAAAAAAAGACAAGGAAACGACGATTCGAACAATATCCAACGCTAGTTGTTGTTTGTGTGATGTTTTATTGAAAATACACAACGTTGTGAACAAATCGAACAACGTTTATAATACTATTTAGTTTGGAGAACTGAATCGAAACTGTCGGGATATTGGAACTGTCGGAAAGTTGAGAGATTCGAGAGTTCGATTTGCAAAAATGCCTTGATGGAAGTATGTTTAGAAAAAAATGGAATTGGTATTAAAGATGTTCACACAAATTTGCAGATTCAGATGGATCAGTATTCGCAGATAATTCATAAAAATACTTTTATTCTATAATAATTAGTCTGTTTCTGAAAACCAAACGATTTTTTATTTCGTTAAACGCGTTGCTGTTCGCGTGTGGACGCATTCATTATTTTTTTTTTGCAAAAACGTATTGTCGAATTGGTGAGGTCTATTGGGGGTTAGTGTCGATTTACGTGCGGCTATTTTTAGGCCACATTGTGAGATGGTACACAATGTGCAATTCTTCGTCTCGAAACCATTTCTGACATTTAGCCAATTTGTCACTGTCGCCAGATTTCAACAATTCCTTCAAATTTAAGATTTTTTTTTCAGAAAAGCGCCAAACTATTCAGATTTTGCAACAAAAAAGAAATCCGATAAAAAATCATCAAGAAACTCTGAAGTCCGGTGCAGATAGTGAAAAAAATATCTAGTTTTAACCGGTTTTTTAAAATCTAATTTTTAAAGAATAGTAGTGACTTTATACAGAAAAAATAAATTGGTTTAGAATGTTTCATTTGTTCAATAATTTTCCTTTTTTTTCTTGTTTGTAAGACATGTCTACCAGACGACCGCCTTGCAAATAATTTATAGCGGCGAACGCAACCGTTCGTTGTAACATCTGTCTGCTACCTTCAACATTCATAGAACTTCTTTTTTTAATTATGATTTTCTCAGACTATCTAGTTCAGAATGTCAGTCAAAGAAGTCTCAAACAATGGCCGAAACATCATTTTTTTTTCTAATTGTGAGCTAATTTGATTTGTGACTCAGGCAAATCAAATAAAATATTTTGAGAATCAAATATTCAGTGATAAACTCTAAAATATTTTGAGAAATTCTAAAGTCTATTGATACTTTCTAAAACTTATTGAGAATCAATAAATTTTAAAAATTTGGAATTTGTAAATTAAATCTTTTGAGAAAGTTAAATCTTTTGAGAAAGTGTAAAGTATCTCAATATATTGTGAGACTTTAAAATTTGAATAAGGCCCTTATGACTTCCACTGACGCAATTTGCGGCGTCTCTTTTTAAGATCTTCTAAATTCCAATCAATAATTTATGTTTTTGATGTTCCTTCCGTTTTTTTTAGCTTTTTGTAATAGTTTCTTCACTTCACTGATGGACGTATTCATGAAATGCAAGTTTTTATAATAAATGTTTAACACTACCTTAAATCTGCATTGTTTTACATGCTGAATTTGAAACAGTTGTGTCTAAACATGTCATTGCATGAACAGGTTCATGAATTTTAAAAATAAGCAATTATTACAATTAATTACAATTATACTTCAGTTTCTAATGATTTCGATATTTTAGAAGATCGGGAAAAGTGTGGAACAAACATTCCAGAAACATTGGCCGATAGATTTAAGGAACGAGGTAAATACAGCAAATTCAATGAGCAGGTGCCCATGTGGATCACGGCCATGGATATTTTCCACCTTTTTCACGAGGGAACACGTATAATAAAAGGTACTTCAATTATGTCTCTCCTTTTTCAGCATTTAAAAATTGAAGATTGTCTTTTAGAAGTCTTCGTTAAAAACGAAATAAATATTTTTCGATGCGAAGCTATTGATGTGAAAGCGAGACTGCCATCTTCGGTAAAGTCGCTATCAGGAAAATTCAATGACATTAATAGGTCCGAAAAAGCTAGTGTAAGTTAATTTACCACTTGCAATTATCATCCTTTGAAGATTTTTGAAGTGAAAATTGTTTCTAACGCCATGATCGGAACCATCCCTCCGTTAGGTTCAGCTGTTGTGTTGCTTATACATGCCTGCTACCGATGGATGGTGTCACCGACTCGCTTAGTTACAAATACAACATTACCAAACAAAGTAATATGGGATCGTTAGCTATGTACATAATAGAAAATTTTTATTTCAGATCGCAGGTATTTGCAAATTATTAGAAATTCTAATTTGAGATGGGGCGCCTCAATTGTTTTCTGGTTCAAAAGTGCACGTAAGTCGTTTTTTTTGCAATTTTAAGAGTTATTGAACGTTGTAGCATCATGCTATTGTCGTTGATATAAGAAATAATACTAATGATTACTGTATTTATTGTTTCAGCAACTTATATACCATTTGTACAGTAATGTCATGGTCAGCTGTCGGCAATAAGCACGCAAGCGCATGAGCACATTTATCACGTTATCAAGAGAAACATGTGCTCGGAACAGACAAACGGGATTGGATATAGTATTTTGAGAAAGTTAGACTCATTCAGTTATTTTTTAAAACTGGCAATTTTCAGTTATAAACTATATCACGAGATTGTGACTTCATTGAAAATGCGTTTCAACGCGAATCCGGATTTAATTAAGAAGTCATTTTATCGCAAAGAACTCATGAAATTAATCGAAAAACGACAAATTCAATCATCAAAATTTGTAAGTTCAACATTTTCTTTCAATATATGCAACGAATTCCTTATAGCAACGTTGTGCGTCATTCGCAGAAAAAGGAGAAAATGCGAAAAGGATAAATTGATTCATTTATTTTTTTTCTGATTTTTATTATTAATATATTCATTTCGCATTAATATTGTAATAAATGAAATGTTCATACATATTCAATTATTATGGATGTTATTACATTCTATTTGTGTGAAAATTGCTCGATAACGTATGATATTACATAATATTGGACAGAGTTTATTGAGAACAATCTAAAATTTATTGATATATTCTAATGTTTATTGAGACAAATCTAAAACTTATTGATAAACTTTAAAGTTTATTGAGACAAATCTAAAACTTATTGATAAACTTTAAAGTTTATTGAGACAAATCTAAAACTTATTGATAAACTTTAAAGTCTCACAATATTCATTGAAACTTATTGATAAATTCTAAAATCTTATGAGATTTCCTAAAGTTTATTGAGACAAATCTAAAATATTATAGAGACACGTTAGCCTCTCAACGAACCTCATGAGATTTTAGAATTGTCTCAAAATATTTTTTTTCATTTGCCTGAGGAAACGATGATTCGACTAATTTGCATTCAATTAATTGAATTTCCATTCAACGGGCCAATGTTCATTGACTCATACTTTTTGACTTGACTCATGATTTTTGACTCATAAAAATTGTATCATGATTTTTTATTCTTTGACTCATGATTTTTGACTAGTGATTTTTGACTAATTTTTTTTTGACTAACAATATTTGACTAATGATTTTCTGAATTTTTTTAGTTGAGATTCCTGCAGTTTTTTCAGTATTCAATTCTGTTTTTTTGGCCAATATTGATGGGTAAGAAGCTGAAGGGTGGGAGGAATTGGGAGAAATGTTAACACAGTTTTTATTCGATAACATAT